CCTTCCCTGCAGGCCTGGTCCCCCCAACTGTCCTTCCTCCCCTGCAGTCCTGGTCACCCCCAACTGTACTCCCTGCTGGCCTGATCACCTACAACTGCCCTCCCCTGTCAGCCATCTTATGGTGGCCATCTTGTGATCACATGGGGGTGGCCATCTTGTCCAAGTGTGTGGTAGTCAATTTGCAAATTACCTCTTTATTATATAGAATGTTGACCACCTCAACAAGCTATTATATTTCTCTTAACATATGATCCAAATGGTTATGTAATTTCATGCCTTCCCCCCCCCCTCTAAACATTCCTTTATTTGGCCTTTCCTCTAGTTAGAGACATTCATAAGCTGTAATAATAATAATAATATTGGTGGGTTAGTGTGTGTCTGTCAGTTTGTGGGTATAAGAAATTTTGGTGGGTATAGAACAAATCATAAATTGTGGGATTCAAAAATATTTATTAGTACTTATCTTAAAAGGAAAAGTGATTGATGATTTATGTGCAGACACACAATAAGCTGTTTCAGGGGATGCTGGGTAAGCTAGATGCTCAGCCTCCACTGCTCTGAGTGACCACTTACCAGCAGGATGGGCTCACCATTCCCATATGAAGCTGAGATTAGCCATGACCTACCCAGTGGAGAGGGGCGCCTCAATCAAACTAGCTGCCTAATCTAGCTTGTCACTGGGCAGAGTTTGTCATTTGTCAGACATTCCTGCTTGCCATTTTATACCCCCAACGTACCTCACCTGAACAACAAGAACCTTCCCTCCGTTTCAAGGGAATTACAAGGGCTTGAGCTGGTAGGTTCAAGGGGACTACAAGGGTCTTAGGCTGGTAGGGGTAGGAGGGAGGTTCTGCACAGAGCTAATGTGATGGGGCTCACTGAATCTCAGGACACTGACAAGTAGCAAGCATGTGGGTCCATGATTAGGAAGTTGGTGCTGTGTCACAGGAAGACACTGGCCAATGCAATTAGGAGGTCATCCGAAGCAGCTTCTCTGCCCAGGTGACTTGCAAGGCCACTTCTACTTAGTGATGATCTGTAGGATATGGCTGGGCTCCCATGTACCTCTCTGAAGCTGGTGATGGTTAATGCACCAGGCAATCCCCTACCCCTAGCACCCGCCCCCTTCCCGTCACCTTCTCCCACCCAAGATCCAGGTGATTTTAATCTCAGCACTTTCTACCTTCTCCTCCAAGGTTCTATCCCATTCTTACCCATATGGCCCTCATCTGGCCTGGGGCAGAGGGAAGGGCAGGCAGGAAAATTCTCACACTCCCTCTATTTTCTTTCTTTTAAAAAAAAATATATTTTATTGATTTCTTACAGGGAGGAAGAGAGAGGCATAGAGAGTTAGAAACACTGATGAGAGAAAAATATCGATCAGCTGCCTCTTGCACACCCTCTACTGAGGATGTGCCCACAACCAAGGTACATGCCCCTGACCGAAATCGAACCTGGGACCTTTCAGTCCACAGGCTGACACTCTATCCACTGAGCCAAACTGGTTTCAGCTATTTTTTTTCTTTTTTAAATTTATTTTTTAAAGTATTACATGATTCTTCCCCCTATTTTGGGGGGGATCAGTTTTCAGGCATAAATAGTCCTAGCTTCCCTCAAAGCCTTCTCTTTAGCTATTTATTTTGGAAATCTCAAACATTTTTAAAGATTTAACATCGTAAGTCATTTTCTCTTGGCAGACCCACTGCCTCGAAGCTAATCCTAAGAGGGAATATGCTAATAACTGTCCCACCCAGAAAGATAGTGGTGGCCACAGCCAATAAGGAGGGAATATGCTAATTGACTGCCTACCTTCAAAGATGGCGGCACCCACAGCCACAAAATGGCGGTGCACAGTCCCCTCAGCTCTGCCAGGGTGGCAGGTATGCGGCAAGGCTAGGCCTGCCCCCAGGCAGGCCCAGCTACTCCGCATGCCTGCCTCCAGAGTCCTCAATCCTCTCAGCCACCCAGGATCTGCCTGAGGTGCAAGAACAGCTCAGATGGCAGCTGCCCAGCTTCCCAGGGTTGCCTGAGACTCAGGTAACCAGCGCCGGCCAATGCTTGCGCTGCCGGAAGTGACAGCAGCAGAGGTGTAAGGGGGCATCGCCTTCCCCTGATTGCCAGGTCACCTCCTGCCCCTGAGGGCTCCCAGACTGTGAGAGGGGCAGGCCAGGCTGAAGGGCCCCCCTCCGGTGCATGAATTTCTCCCCTGAGTACTAGAGGCTTAATGTACAAAATTTGTGTAAGAGTAGGCTTTCCTTCCCCCAGCTGCTGGCACTAGCTTCCCTCCAAGACCTGGGCTTCCCAACAGCCACCGGCAGGCACCCAGGGCCTGGGCTTCCCTCATAGCCCCAGCTTCATCTGGATGGTCATCCGGAAGGACATTTGGAAGGACCTACAGTGTAATTAGCATATTTTGCTTTCATTATTATAGACTGTGAATGTATCTAACTAGAGGAAAGGACAAATATAGGAATGTTTGGGGGGAAAGGGGGAAGGCATGAAATTACATATTTCAAGGCAGCATTTCACTACAACTTCATTCACTGCTCACCTCCTACTCCAGCAATTGCTCATTAATCCCTTACTTCTCCTTTACTGACTGTGTGAAACATCTTTCTCGAACTTTAGCTGTCAGATCTTCTAGTTCCCTTTTTACAGGCCTCTTTCTCCTGTAGCGTTTGACAGTGACAACTATCTCCTCTGTCTCAGGTAAGAAAGAGGTGGGGGAGCATAAGTAGTAGACACCTAACTCCAAGTTAATTTTAAAAAAGAGGAGAAATTACTGGAAAAATACTAATCTCTCTTCTACCAAATAAAGTTCTTGTTCAACTCTTTGTTGATCTGTATCTGGGTCTGGTATTTTCAAATCTATCCCCCTATCCAGGGCATAAATTAACAATAACAACAACAACCACTATCACCACCAGCCGCCCAACGGTGTTGCTCAATAGCTGAGCATTGAGCTATGAACCAACCGGTCACAGTTCAATTCCTGGTCAGGGTATGTGCCCAGGTTGTGGGCTCAGTCCCTACTGGGGGGTGTGCAGGAGGCAGACAATCAATAATTCTCTCTCTATCTTTGATGTTTCTATCTCTCTCTCCTATCCCTTCCTCTCTGAAATCAATAAATTCTTTTAAAGAAGAAGAAGAAAACCCTTCTTTGTGACAATATGGGTGGACTGGGAGGGCATTATGCTAAATGAAATAAACCAGGAAAAAAAAAACCTGTACTATCTAACTTTCATGTGGAATTTAAAATAATCAAGCCCATAGAAGCAGAAATTAGAATGGTGGTTGCCAGGAGCTCAGAGGGACAAGTGGAGAAATGATGGTCAAGATTAGCAAGTGTCAGTTATGTAAGATGACTAAGTTCTAGAGATCCACTCTACAGCATAGCTGTAGCCATGTGCAAGCTGTTGCCGTTGGCTAACAATACTGTAATGGATGCTTAAATTTTTCTAAAAGGAAGATCTTATATTGTCTTCCTACAATAATAATAATGGGAGTAGGAGATTTTAGAAACTGATGTATTTACGGCCTCGATGAGAGTATGCTTTTCCCCAAACTCATCAAGTTGTAGTATTCATTACACATGCACAGCTTTTTATTTTTTTATATGCTTTATTGATTTTTATTTTTTGAGAGAGAGGGATAGAGAGATAGAAACATAGATGAGAGAGAATCACCAATAGGCTGCCTCCCAAACACACACACACACACACACACACACACACACACTGAGGACCGAGCCTGAAACCCAGGCATGTGCCCTGACCGGGAATAGAATTGATGACCTCTTGGTCCTGGGTCAACGCTCAAACGCTGAGCCACAGTAGCTGGGCATGTACGGCTTTTAATATATCAATCATACTTCAAAATGTAGCTTAAAAATAAAAATATATTTTAAAAGAACACATTAACCATTCTTTATGGGAATATTCTTTAAAGTTAAATATAATTCAGATCAAAAATTTCCAAAGGATGGTATCTTCGATGAGTAATTTAATCACTGTCACTTTAACTAAAGTTTTATTGCAATGTATTTGTCAGTATCAGAAAAATACAGAAATATTATTGACATATAAAAAAGCATATTTTAAATTCCATTTAAGCCCACCCATTTCACCTCCCACAGGTGTTTTCTTTTGATAAAGAGTGAATAAGGAATAACTTGAATGGCAATGCTTCAAATTGATCTACCTCTACAGCCCCCTGAAAAATCTCAGTGTGTACCCACATCAGAGAAAACTGTTCTCTTTAACATGAAAGACCATACAGGCATGAACTTGATGCTTCCTACCACGGAAAAGGGGCGAGAGGGGCAAATTACAGGTCTTGTGTTTGACTTATACTAAAAAAAGCCCCCCCAAAGAAGAGTGGATTGTATGTGTTCTCACACAAAAAGGCAAAAAGTGCCCATGCTTACAGCATGTTGGGCTTGGTGCTGACAATTCATGTTTCAGTCTCCTGAAAGGACCCCAACCTGAACCAATAGGGTGAAGCACAAGTGTGCTTCTTGGAGTGGAATGATTGCACCTGCCTTTTCCCATTCAAGGTCCCCTTTGTATTCGGTTTCACTGGAGGAGGCCCATCTCTCTAATCTTCCTGTTTCCTAATTAATTTGCGGAGTGTGTTGGGGCAGCTGGGCAGGCCCACCAGATTTGGGAGAATCATGGGCTTGAAGGAGGCAATGCTCTAATTTTCCCAATGAAAGTCAAGGTCCAGAGAAGTTAGCCACTTTTCCAAGGATATACAGTTCACTCATGCAGAGGCACATGGCTATTCTCCATCCTGACTGCTGTTTCAGGAAGACGAGAACGAGGATCTGAGTTGGGTTTGGCTTAGGGAGGTGGCGGGGAGCCGAGGGGAGCAGGGGGTCTGGAGGGATGAGAATGTGTCTCCACCGGAGAGACGCTGTGTGAAGGGCTGAGTGACCTGATGTCTCAGTGCAGCCTCAGCGATGGCTGATCCCGAGCAAGCCAACAGCAACCAGGCCTCTACTAGGGTCCCCCCTCACAGGGCCCTATGCTGGTGACAGAGATGCTCTGTCCTCCACACCTCAGGACTCCGGCCTGGCACTCGGTCATCGTCCGCTTGGCGCCGTCTACATCCACGCAGACCGTGCTCCCTTCCGCCTGGCACTCCGAGGCATCTCTGCATTCACATGCAGCGCTCTGGGCTGGAAAAGAAGCGAGACGTGCTCACGGGCACATCAGGGCAATGGCGAGTCAGGGCATTCCCTCCATGGAGTGGTTAGAGACCCATGGAAGCTCCTGCTTCCACCAATGGAACCCACCACCCCCTGGGACAGCATGGGCCCAGGAAAGCCAGGCAATTAGTTCTGCTCAGAATAGGTAGGCTTGGAAACTGGCGCCAAGCTTGTTGTTACTCTCCGGAGTACCTGGGGCAGTTCTCCCAAGTCAAGAGCTGTCCAGCTCTGTCCTAGACCGGGGGCCATCCAGGGGAGTCAGAACCTCAGTAGGACCTTCAACCTCCCCAACCAAATGAGGAGGCCTCAGCAAAGAACTGGTGGCAAGGGTCAAACAGAGACAAAGAACCAAAGAATTCAACTGGCATTGAGAGAGAGGGCATGCAGCACCCAAGGCCGCATAACCCCAGACAGAGCAGAAACAAGCTGTGCAGGGAGCTCTGAGTGCCCCACGTGTCCAGGCTGGCCTACACCAGCCAGGCATCTCCAGAGGCACCAAATTTGTGAAGCGTCCATATTCTAGGAAAGAAAGGAAGGGGAGGGGAGAGGAAAGGAGGGAGGGAAGAAAATAGAGATGCCCTCACCATCGCATTTCTCCCACAGTGGACACGCGCCACATGCCTTCCTGGTGAGGGCCGGCAGATTGCAGCTCTCCGAGCCCATCAGGGTGAAGTTTTTACCCTGACATTGGAGGGCTTGCACCTTGCAAACGGTCAGAGGCAGTATCCTTTGGTTTTTCATGTCCTGAGCGCATACACCCAAGGAGGACCTGAAATGGATTTTAAAAATCATATTATTTAGCAGCTTTTCATTCTTAAAAGTGGAGCATGAGAAGTGGCAGGTGAGGCTCTGAGCGCAGGGTCTGGGTGTCATCACCCACAGCAAAGAGAGGGAAAGGAAACTCGCACCCCCCTCCTCACCAGGGTCCAGCCCCCCCGATCTTCTCAATGAACATATTTTGCTCTCCATTTGCTCACAACCTCTAGAAGCTTAGATAGCTAGGGTGGATCTAGTGTCATCTAGACCACATCAGAGACAGCAGATGAGAGGAGAAGGCTGCGCCGCTGGGACAGCTGGGGGACTGACCACAGGGAGGGACAGAGAGCACGCCAATGTCCACCCCAGAGGCTCTGGCCGGACTGGACCACCAGCTGCAGGACCCTCCCAGCCCCGAAGCTCTGAGAATTCCATTCATAGCCGATGACTGAAGCCTCCGGGGAGATGAAATTGTTTCACTGCTAATTGTTAGAGTCTATGTTTTCAAAATACTTCTAAGTAATTGTTCTTTTTTTTTTTTTTTTTTTTTTCTTAAGCATTGGTGTCAAAATGATGAGGCCCAACTTAGGAGAAATGTCACTTGAGAGGAATATAAACAAGCACATCTCACCTGGCCAGTGTGGCTCAGTAGTTGAGCGTTGACCTATGAACCAGGAGATCATGGTTCCATGCTCACATTTCAGGCTCAATCCCCAGTGTGGGACGTGCAGGAGGCAGCCAATCGGTGATTTTCTCTCATCATTAATGTTCCTACCTCACTCTCTCACTCCTTTTTTTCTTTCTGAAATCAATAAAAATGTAAAGAAAATAAAAAATAAAATAATAGCCAAAACCGGTTTGGCTCAATGGATAGAGCGTTGGCTTGGGGACTGAAGGGACCCGGGTTCGATTCCGGTCAAGGGCATGTACATTGGTTGCGGGCACATCCCCAGTAGGAGGTGTGCAAGAGGCAGCTGATTGATGACTCTCTCTCATCGATGTTTTTAACTCTATCTCTCTCCCTTCCTCTCTGTACAAAATCAATAAAATATACTAAAATAATAATAATAATAATAAACAAACACATATCTGAATGTTGGTGGGTAAGGAAGGCTTTGCTGTAGTGAAACCTGGGACAGCAAAGCATATTTGTAGAACAGACCAAGTTTATCTTCACCTGTATTTATATTTAGTTCTAATATTTTTCTTCTCTGACCAAGTAGTAAGTTTACTTGCAGTTGTTTGTACTGGGAAAACAAATCCTTGTGCATCTCTTTTATCTGCTTCTTCAGACTTTGAATAGAACTACTCAGAACAGCTTAGAGGCAGAGACTCTATAAGGTTGCCTTGTGTGGGGATCTGATACTAATCTCACACACACCACGTCTATAAACAGCAGGCTGCTGGTAAAGGAATGAATTGGGGAATTTGGAAAGACAATGAAAGTGAATCAAAGTAATCAATGATTAATAGGAAACAACAGCCCCATCAGAATATCCGGGGCCTAAACACTGCTGCCATCCACACTATTTCACTGCGTTCTCCTTCCCCGGGGGAAGTTCCTCCCTGCAAGGTGCCACCACGACCACGCTACCCACTGCAGGAGTTCGTGGAGTTGGATGTGCGCTAGGATGATGGTCATAACTGCAAGCCAAGGAAGTGGCCAGTAGGTGTAGGTTCTGAGTACCAGGGCTTCCTCAGAGTCACTCTTTCCCTTCTCCGTCCAGCCTGGAGGACTGACAGGTAAGAACATCCACAGATGTCCTTGTCCTCTAGCTTTGGGGGCATTTCATCAATGGGGAGCAATGGCAGACACTGGAAGGGGAGGAGAGTGCAGATCCCCAGAGGCCCTCCTGGGGGATTTCTGAGGTCCTTCCTCAGCTGCCATCTCCACACCTCCCTCTTCCTCTAGGTTCTCCTAAATGCTCCTCTCTCGATCCTCTAGGCTTGGGCTTGGAGATACACCCAAGCTGTGACCTATCAGGACCCTGCCTGTGGCTTGCAATGTCCTTTCCTCTCCCACACTCAGTTCATTTAGAAAGATGATGACAGTGAATCAAAACAAACCTCCTCCATCCTCATTTAATCCTGCCATCTGAGCCTGACTAGGACCATGCACAGACATCTAGCAACTCCTTCAGGTCCCTACTACAATGGGCTGGTTTCCAGTTGGGTGGCATGTTTTGTTTTGTTTTGTTTTGTTTTGTTTTGTTAATCCTCACCCAAGGGTATTTTTCCATTGCTTTGGGGGGTAATGAAAGAGAGAGGGAAAGACAGAGAGAAACATTGATGTGTGAGAAACACATCCATTAGTTGCCTTCTGCAAGGGCCTTGGGCCAGGGAGGAGCCTACAGCTGAGGTACCTGCCCTTGACCAGAATGGAACCTGGGACCCTTTGGTCCACAGGCCAACTCTCAACCCACTGAGCCAAACTGGCTAGGGCCAGTTAGGTGGCATCTTATAAAGCCATCTAGAGACAGATATTCCTAGAATCAGAAAAGCAGCTGCTTTTTTCTCGGTCGGCATTGCTTGGAGAGTTTATGTCTCAGGAGGATTTTAGTCCTAATCCTCTCAAATTTGAAACGCTCAGGTGACAGTATGTCGTTTTGCACCGTTTTATAGAGAACAAGTAGGTCTTCAGCCTTGCTAGCCAGGGGAGAGCAACACTGATGCCCCCATTGTCAGCCAGGTGACAACTCGCCAGGCAAGTAACGGGCAGCAGATGGACAGATGAAAAGGCACAGAGCCGTAGCCCTCAGTCAGCAGCACCTTCCACCTAGCAGAGTCCAGCATCTAAGAGATTGTTTTCTCTATCTTGCATAAAATGAAACAGAGACGGGAGCAAAGACAGGGCTTACCGACATTCGTAGGGCAATTTACAAACACATCTTGAATTCTTCACTTTCTCCCAGGGCTGACACTGAGGCGCTGCCTGTGTCACAGGGGATTCTAAAAAACAAGAGATGAGAGATGCAATCATTGGGAGAAGAGCTCCTTCGTGGTGAACAATATATCATTTTCAGGGTGAAAGTGGCTCTATGATGTTCTCCACACATTGGCACAGGAAAAATATAAAGCTGGAAAGCATTTTACAAGGGATAGAACATTCCTCAGAGCACCTTATGAATAGCATCATTGGTCCAGCAGTTATGTTTCTTGAGTATTTACTATCAGCTATGCACCTCTTATACAATGCGATATTTAACTCTCCCTAACAAATGCCCATTCAAGAGATGAGGATAGTAAAGGTCAGAGAAGTTATGAAGTTGGTTCTAGTTAACAGGTTGACCAGGCCAGGATTCAAAGCCATGCTTGTCTGAATCCAAGGCCAGTAGAGCAGGCTGCTTTTTATCAAGAAATTGGGCCCTAACGGGTTTGGCTCAATGGATAATAAAAACTGACTGACCTATGACCAGGTTTGATTCCTGGTCTGGGCACATGCCTAGATCTCGATTCCCAGTGTGAAGTGTGCAGGAGGCAGCCAATCAGTGATTCTCATTGTTGATGTTTCCATTTTTCTCTCTCTCCCTTTATTTTATTCTGAAATGAATAAAAATTAAAATAAACATTAACTTTGGAGGTTGACAATCCTGGAATTTTTTAATTATGGGCTTATTTTAAGGGTAGTTATTGTTGTTGTTAACATCTTCTCCAAAACATGCAGGTCTGAAAAATATCCTGCATGCAAACTTCAATTGAATTTGCTGCTGAGTGGGACAAATTTCATATCAAATTGTGCTATATCAGGGCTGAAGCAGACATTTGAGAAAGACAAGTATATAACCTCCTTTGGAATGAAGGAGCAATCTCATCAATACTACATTGTTTTATTTAATTTTAGAATCATCGGTCTATTGCACAGGTCCAATACCCAAATAAATTCGTATTTCTGCTTCAGTGCATATAGAGGGAAAAACCAGCCCTACCCAGCTTGGCTCAGCAGATAGAGCATCGGCCTGCAGACGAAGGATGCTGAATTCGATTCCAATCAAGGCCACGTACTTCGGTTGCAAGCTCTATCCCCAGTAGAGGACATGCAGGAGGCAGCCAATCAATGATTCCCTTTCATCTTTGATCTTTCTCTTTTTCTCTCTCCCTCTCCCTTTCTCTCTCTGAAATAAAAAAAAATATATGCTTTTATTTTTCTTTTCTGTTTTTAATTATCCCAAGCACATTTTTTATTTATTTTAAAAATGCAAACAAGAAATAAGAGGTTCTTTTAAAAAACAAATCTATCTCATTTTAAATATCTCTAAAAAATAAATTGTTTGGCTTTCCAAATCTCTTCCTCCATTAATTTCTTTAAAAAACCATTTTAATTTCCCTAATATTCAAAATACTAGACTTTTGGTTTTACACTATTAAGAACAACTTTGCAAATCACAACATGTTTTCTTCAATGATCTTTGCTTTGTAAAATGCTTTTAATTTTTCTATTTTAATAATACTAGTAAATTCTCTGAAAGCCCATAAATAAAAACATACAAAATGTTATATAACTTATTATCTCAACTTTGGACTTCATAAAAGCACATTTAAAAATCAGAAGGAAATCAGAAATGAGCTTTTAAAAATATTTTCTCTTGGCAATCTAAGTGATGCAAAGCTAAACTTTGACATAAAGGATTTCAGTTCAAATTTAAGAATCACCAGAGCTGTTCTTGCCTTCCTTTGCATTCCATGAGTCTATCTGTGTCATGTAACAAAGTCGGCTATTGCCAAAACCGGTTTGGCTCAATGGATAGAGCGTCGGCCTGCAGACTGAAAGGTCTCGGGTTCGATTCTAGTCAAGGGCGTGTACCTTGGTTGTGGGCACATCCCCAGTGGGGGGTGTGCAAGAGGCAGCTGATCAATGTTTCTCTCTCATTGATGTTTCTAACTCTCAATCCCTCTCTCTTCCTCTCTGTAAATAAATCAATAAAATAAAAAATAAAAAGTCTGCTATTTGCTCTATGAATTGACTGCCTTCTCATGACAGGCAGAGGCAAAGGCAATGATTCCACAATTATGGTGATTCAAGGCCATAAAGGACCGTCACAAAGACTGTCACACGCTTGGGTGCAGGTGTCCTGAGCCGACCTGAGACTGCTCACCTCTATGGACACAATGGACATCCTTTATCTCAGGACTCCACTTAAGGCTGGATCCACAGATAAATGTTGAAGGACCCTCTAGTGTCATGCCACTGGAACAGGAAAATGTCACCTTGTCGCCAACTGCGTAGGAAGGTTTCTGGGGGTGACTCTGTATGCCATCCATCAGTGTTGGTAGAACACAGACAATTTCTAAAGATTAAAAAAAGAAGAAGAGCAGAATACAAGGGTCATTTATTTTCTAAACCAGTGGTCAGCAAAATCATTAGTCTACAGAGCCAAATACCAACAGTCTAACAATTGAAATTTCTTTTGAGAGCCAAATTTTTTAAACCTAAACTTCTAACGCCATTTCTTCAAAATAGACGCACCCAGGCCATGGTATTTTGTGGAAGAGCCACACCCAAGGGGCCAAAGAGCCGAATGTGGCTCACAAGCTGCAGTTTGCCGACCACTGTCCTAAACCATCTTTGTAAAAACATGACCTGCTTGAATGCTACTGTTGTACTTGCTCTTGGAAGACAAGCAAGAAAGGGTGAGCTCACTCTTAGGGTGCCCACAAAGACATATCCCACTGGGCCCCGCATGTAATTGACCAATGAAAGACAAAATACGTTAGCCTTGCCGAAACCGGTTAGAGCATCAGTCTGCGGACTGAAAGGTCCCAGGTTCAATTCTGGTCAAGGGCATGAACCTTGGTTGCGGGCACATCCCCAGTAGGGGGTGTGCAAGAGGCAGCTGGTCGATGTTTCTCTCTCATCAATGTTTCTAGCTCTCTCTCTCTCTCCTCTTCTCTGTAAAAAAAAAAAAACAATAAAATATATTTAATAAATAAATAAATAAAATAAAATAAATTACGTGAGCCTTATAAACAGAGACCTAAAGTCCAGCCTGCTGTCCAAACCAGATTTTTCACAGCTGCCAGTCTGGTAGAACTTCCCCAGGAACTGTGTTTATTTCTGTGTCATTAGCATGTATCCAGTTGCGTATTTTACTAGCTGAAATTTTTTTTAAAACTGCCTTTAACCTTGCAACCATAAAAGTGTTAGATGTAATTTGGTTTCCAATCTCTATTCTTTCTTGCTTGATTATGTTTATTAGTTCAAAATTCCTACTTGAAAAAAGCAGCAAAGAGAAAAATGAGAAGCATACAATTTTATGGAAAGCAAGTCAGATTTCACAATTTTTGAAAAAATTTTGGCAAGTTCTCTAATGGACCGTGGACAATAGTCTACAAACCACTGCTCTATCTCTGCACCATTTTCATCAGAAAATCCATTTATTCATTCATTCAAAACAGCATCTACTGAGTGCCTCTATTTTGCCAAGAATGTTGTGTGCTGCTGGGGATTCAAGCTATGAGTCAGGTTTTGAAGGCCTAAGATTGCAGAGAGAAAGGAAGACTAAATGGTTACCACATTTGGTGATGCTTTCTCCTTGAGGTATTTGTAAACTTGGTGGGGTGAAGGGAGGAAATGATGAAAGGCTGCTATTAAACTGAGTAGAAAGCTGCAGCTGAGAGGCTGGGAGACAGACATAAAGGCAATGATTCAACAACTGGAGTTTTGGGGCTAGGAGAGCAGAAACTAGAGCCCAGTCCCACCGAAAAGAAGGGACTTAAGTAGAAATTCCATGTCAAAACTTCCATTGGGATTCATTCATTAATGGCCACGCACTAGGAACAAAGATAAACTAGGCATGAACCAGCCTCACTGCTTGCCAGACACAGAACTGAATATTCTCTCCAGGAAGATAACATTGCCCAAAGCCTCAAGTCATTTCTCTAATTTTCACACATAAAGTCTGTCATTTAATCAAAACTAATCTAGCCCTGATTGGTTTGGCTTAGTGGATAGAGCATTGGCCTGTGGGCTGAAGGGTCCCAAGTTCAATTCCGGTCAAGGGCATGTGCCTTGCTACGGGCACATCCCCAGAAGTGGGTGTGCAGAAGGCAGCTGATTGGTGTTTCTCTCTCATCAGTGTTTCTAACTCTCTATCCCTCCCCTTCCTTTTTGTAAAATATCAATAAAATATATATTTTAAAAACAATTAATCTAACATTTAAAAAGATAAGAATTCCCAGCTTGCTCTCCCTCCTGGGGGCATGCCTGCCGTTTCCCTTTCCGTTTGCCTTTCTCTCTCCTGAGCTCCAAGTGTCCTTCTTTTTCCTGTATAACTTGTCTCCTGATTCCATGCCAGCTGGCTCACTTTCCTACCTCTGTAAATTTCTAAATAAGCTTTCTCTTATAAATAAATAAATAAAAAGATTTGATCAAAATGTTAAAAGACTATAGAAGCAGGCCTACAGCAGACCCAGATAAGGGGATTAACGAACATAGACCTTGAAATAACTATGATTAACATGTCAAGGGGGACGAGGGAATAAATTACAATATGGTTGATTTCAACAGAGAATTAGAAAGTATTAAAAAAGTAGATAAATGGAATATCTAGAATTGGAAAATAAAACTAAGAACTCAATAGACCTCTTAAAAGCACATAATATATAACTGTACAGAGAATTAATGAACTTTAAGACAGGTCAGTAGAAAATATTTAGAGTGAAACAGGGAGAGGGGAAAATGATGTAAAACAAAGAAAGTAACATACATAATATAGACAGTCTAAAAATGTATCATTTGTGTCTCAGGAGGAGAGATGAGCTAGACTGCGACAGAGGCAAAATTTTAGGCCACATGGTTAAGAATTTTCTAAAATTATCAGAGAACATTATAGCACAGGTTCAAGAACTGCTTTGGGTATCATCCATCATGAGACAAAGAAAATCACACCAAAGCACATGGGAGCAGAGTTGCTTCAGAAAAACAAAGACACAAAAAAATCTTAAAAGCAGACAGAAAATATATGATTTCAAAGGAGAAACAATAAGTCTAAGAACTGACTTATCACTAGAAAACAGTGAAGTTAGAGGCAATGCAATGAAATCTTCAAAGGGTTTAAAGGAAATAAGTGCTAATTTAGAATTTCTTACCCAAATAAAAGTATCCTTCAAAAATGAAGATAAAATGAAGGCACTTTAACATGAACAAAGACTGGGGAGGTTTTTCACCAGTAAACTCACAATAAAGAAAAAGAAGCTCTTCAAGCATAAGTATTGAATTAATATTTTCCTAGAACCAATTTGGGGCTTTTATTATACTCCTAGCTAGGAAATGTTCATATTGCTTTTCAGTAATTTCTGCTCAAGGACTTCACAAAGGGACAGTCAGAGAAAGAGACATACAGAAATGAAAGGTTCTACACAGCAATAAGAAAAACACAAATCTTTAAAAATGGACAAAAGGGTTCCGGGCCTCCTCCACGGCTCGCATCTCAGGCCGGAACGCGATCTCGTGAACCTACGGGGCTGCCGGGGCCCAGGCGTGGCACCGTGGGCCGGACCCGCAGCCGTGGCCACCGCTGTTTTGGGAGCTGAGGAGCGTGCTCTGCGGCCACCCTGCTGGCCTCTGGGAGTTTGGCAGTCACCGGCTAGAGACACCCACCAACGAGCTTCATTGTTGTCTTTCTGGGAACTCATTCCCATGAGAGCAGAACCTCTGAGAAAGAAGAAGGTCGATCCTAAAAAAGACCAAGCTGTAAAGGACCGTTTGAAAAAGAGGATCCGAAACCTAGAAAAGGCTAGCCAGGAGCTAATTCCCGTTGAAGATTTTAGTATCCCCGTGAAGCTCATGGATCAAGGGAGACAGCGGCCTCAGGTACAGCTCTCCTTTGAGGAGGCAGAACGGAGAGCTTTGCTCGTGAAGAAGTGGTCCCTGTACAAGCAGCGAGAGCATGAGATGGAGAGGGAAGCCATCAAGTCCATGCTCCAGGCCCAGCAGGAAGCTCTGAAGCAGCTACAGCTCACATCCCAGGAACTCTATGCGGAGGCCATCAAGTGGGACTACAGCCTGTTTCCCTTTGAGAGAGAAGGGCCAGATTACACACCACCCATCTCCAACTACCAGCCCCCTGAAGGCCGGGACCATGACATCACCAAGGTGTACACACAGGTGGAGTTCAAGAGGTAGAGCTGCTGGCCGCTGTCTTAACACGCTGTCCTTGAAAGCCAGAATGACCAGAGCTCAAGCCTCCTTGTCAGAGAATTAGGCATGCTGAGAATAATTGTGTCATCAAGAAAAATAAGTAAATAAATAAATAAAGACAAAAGACTAGACAGCCCCTTCACCAAAGAGGATATCCAAATGACCGATAAACATGTGAAAACAGGCTTAATATCACTACGCCTCAGAAAAAAAATTTTATTTAAAAATACAAGTTAAAAAATAAGATATCACTGTATTGCCAGTATAGCTAAAAAGAATTTAAGGATAAATGCAACCTTAACTTCTCAGATTCTGGTAGGGATGTTAATTGTATGACCACATGAAAGATAGTAGTGTATTTTAAATTTAAATCAGAAATTGCATGATATACCCAAGAGAAAAAATGTGCATGTGCTCACTAAGACGTTCCTTGCTTTGCAAAGACCAACTGATATAGAAAAATTATAATCCTATAATTATAACCCTGTCCGTGCATCTGAGAACAAACTTATATGGCAACACAACTGAGTTGGAGGCCAGAGTACTATTAAGACAACAGATGTTAAGATTCCTATATCTGAACAAAATAGGATCCAAAGCATCTAAAGAAGTAGCTTGATTGTGGTTCACACCTAGTCATTGAACTTCACAGGATGTTCTGATGGTCTTAGCCAGATCTGAGCTTCCTGGCCAATTCCAGTATGTCCAGGAAACTTTAAAATGACAACATGTGCCACACCTACCAAGAGCTCCATCAGCTAGAAAATGCTAAAGGCTTTTTCATGACCCTCTTGAAAGGGTCATAGGAGCCTTTCAGAAAAGGAAGGTCAAGACATGGCACACACAGTAAGCAATTATCTTGATTCATTCTTTTGCACATCATTATCTCCTCTTAAATTTTATACAACGGCCGAGGCCACTCACTCTGACAATGCCTTTCCCCGGTGAGCCACTGTAAGTCATCGCCACATCTGGCCACAGGGTCTCCAACCAGAGAGTATCCTTCCCTGCAGGTATAGACAATGCTTTTCCCAACAGGAAACGTGGTACCTTCATTCTAGACAGAAATACAACAGAAAGAGTTTGCGTTAACACAATGTTTCTTTAGATATATTTGGTCTATAAACCATGCTTTCTTTTAATCACCAGGCAACTTTCATTCAAAGAACTGATTTTAAAACTGTCTATAAAGGCATTTTCTTGTTTATAGTCCTAGCCAACAACCCTGATTCCACCATCAATGGAACTAAAGCCAGTAATGCCACTGTACTATAATTTATTGATTGTTCTCTGTAGTAAAAATTTTACTAAAAGTACTTTAGTACACACTGACCAAGTAGGTTCTTTGCCATATACGTTCAGTAAAAGTCAATTTCTTATCATATTTGGGAAACATCCTTGTCAGTCAACCCTTCATAGAAAGGTGTCAAGGGATTTCTATGGGCAATACTGCCTGACAATGCTGGTGTGAACTGACAGGTTGAAATCCTTTTAGCATGTTCGATTCCGGTGGGCACCGGGGATGTTCGGTGGGCACCTTTAGCATGTTCGATTCCGGTGGGCACCAGGGATGTGCCCACAACCAAGGTATATGGGCATATACCTTGGTTGTGGGCACATCCCCGGTGTGGGGTGTGCAGGAGGCAGCTGATTGATGTTTCTCTCTCATTGATATTTCTAACTATCCCTCTCCTTTCCTTTCTGTAAAAAAAATCAATAAAATATATTTAAAATATTTTTTTAAACAAAGACTTATTTTAGTGCTAGAATAGGGGAAGTCTTCATGTTGAAGACCTTGCTTATAGATTCCTATTTTAGTGGGAAAGGAAATGTTTAGCTGCCCTCTGGCATGACTGCATTTCTAATTCATTGGGTGGCAATATTGATTTACCTTGCCACAGATGTACTGACTTCTGCAGAATTCTAATCACCTTCGGCCAAAGAACAAAAGTCTAAAACTCTCATCAAACTAAGATGCACACATAAAATATTTTATGCTCTGTTTCCTTGTGGAAGAAGGACATGGATAAGACAACAGTGGAGGTGCAGAACTTGATGCTAAGTATGTGTAAAGGAGAAATATGTATATCTCATAACCAACTTGAACAAATCCGTTGTCCAAGGCAGGGGGTGGTGGACAGAATTCCTTTGGACCTGAAGGCAAAGGAAAACAATGGGGTTCAAGCAATCTGGAAGAGAAAGAAAACAAAATATAATTAATGTGATGAATTCCTATAATATAATCAATATTTTTCACCACAGCATATTTTTATTTGCATTTGAAAGAATTGTGTTCGTGTAAGTATGTTAATGTGATATTTTTGTCATTGTCAGGATCAAATATCTGATCACAACCTGTGATAGAAAACTAAAACATAAACTCAGGCTTGCAAAAGATAGTTAGGTGGCCAATCTACTTGATGTCAACACCGCTGCTCTCATTTATGGGGCCAGGCTGCCCCCCAGTTCCCCAGCCTTTCATAACTATGTGTCAGGAAAACTTGAACCATGGGTGCAAGGTGGCCAGGCCAGGCCTCCACCCTTCAACTGACCCCTCCGCTAAAGGGCAAAGCAGTCATTGACAAAAATTGGGTATTTCTTGTTCAAATCATCTAGTAGCAGCAATCACATAGTCCACACGACCGATGGCCAGGAGGTCTGGTCCCCCTTACCGAAGGTTATTCAGCTCCTCGTCTTCCTCTCCGCACTGCCTGCTCTCTGACATTTCTCCAATACAGGACTCCCCACCCCCTCTGGGACGCGGGTTATTGCATTCTCGGCGCCTTGTTCTCCTTCCTTCAACACAGGGGCTCCAAGAGGACCAGCAGTTCCAACCTCCATCCACCTTTCCTGGAAGATAGGAGGAAGGTCAGAAAATACTTGCAGAGGGAGCTCACTGCAAAACTGCCAGCTCAGTGGTCCTGCGGGGAGGGAACATCAGGGATTTATTACCTTCAGCGTTCACTGAGTCCTCTACAATGGCCAGCGGGCTCTGCACACTGACCAGGGTTGTCCATACCATTGCTGCATTAACAAACTTCTTGCAATAATATCTTAAATGTGTTTATCACCTTACAACCATTTCAAAGCACTTCCACGTGCAATCCATCATTTATTTACTTCTCACAAGAATGAAGCCAGCTGGGCAGGAGGTCAGTCACCATTTTTGTTTGAAAGGTGTGGAATCTGACACAAAGTGGTTGAATGCCATGCCCGATGCTATCATGGCTGCCAAGAGCCACATCCAGACTGTAACTGTGTCTTACCACTGAGTTCAGGTTCTTTTCATCACTCCACAGTCTCTCAATAAAGTAAGTTGCTCTTGTTAAAGCAGTGATAGTGCATGAGAAGGGCATAATGTACGGATACTCCAGGCTGCCAACCCCAGGGCTGGCACTGTGCAAAGTCAGGAAGTGTGAAAGCAGATGAACTGCTTTTCCCTCCTATTAGCATCTTTCTCCAATTCTACACTGGGCACTTCCTCAACCAACCCTGGCACCCTCTACCTCCGGGCTAATGCACGACTCACAGTTCTTTTAGTATTTCCCCCATCACATTCCTTGGGGGAGCCAGGGAGAGCTTGTACCATAGTCTAAGAACTTTGCTTTACTAGTTAGAAACTGATCTCAGACACATTCCCCAGAGCATTCTTTTCCGATAATAAGTGGGTGTGTTTACTGATCCTTAGCTATTGCTACTGTGCAATCTATATCCCTCTTCGCCCCCTATCATACCCCCCACTTCTCATTACCACACACCAAAACTAAACCGAACGTGTATGGCTTGCAGTGGCACTGGCACGTGGTGCCCTCCATGATTTTCCTTACACTTTCTTTCATCACTAAAAACTGAGTCAATAAAGTAGTCCCCTGAGTATATTAATAAAGGGTAATAATAGCTTGATATATTATGATTGCTAAACCATTCCTTACCAGGAAGGGGCGCTCTCATTTTTATCAAATGACTGGAAATCCAAACCACAAAGGGAAGAGTCAGGGGTGGAATTTGAATTTACCAGGAAGACCAGTAGGGGCGACATTTTGGAGGCAAGGATGCCTTCCTGATGCTTGTCTATAAGCAACCATAATTTAGTCATGCATTTATTCATGTATCAAACATTTAATAAGTGTCTTCTATAAAATCAAGCTCTATGTCAGGCTTTGGAAATAAAGAAAAAAAATCAAATCCTGATCATAAGAAACCATCTTTCTAAAGAAGCGGTCACCAACTGGTGGTCCGTGAGGACCAAAAGGTTGGTGGCCACTGTTCAAGAGGAGAGAGACATATAAGTAAATATGAAGACAAATATACACAAGTGGTTTCATGCATGGCCTGCTTATAAAGTAATTTCACAGAGCCCTGTTCCGAGTGCTTAAAGCACCACGCACACAGCAGATGCCAACAAGCACCTGTGAATAGCTGATGGGCGGGACATAATACAAAACAGAAGCCAAGATGTTTCAAGGAGCTGGCCAGCAGAGAGGTTAGGCAGTGCCACCCACGCCCCACAGACCTGGGTTATGACTGAAACTTTCTAGAAGACAATGGAACGATGGGAGGTGTTTGGGGCACTGAGCTAGTCTGATGGCAGATGGGGAATGGTGGCAAGCAGGATGGGTCTGTTAACTCAGACAGAAAAACAGACACAGCAAAGGGCCTTGACCCCAGAGTCTACCATCCGGGCGTGGATGGGAGTGGGAGATATTGAATTAAAATGCCCAGTGAGTCCTACTGGCGTGGCTCAATGGTTGAGCATCGACCTATAAACCAGGAGGTCCCGGTTTGAATCCCAATCAGGGCACATCCCCAGGCTGTGGGCTCCATCCCCTCTGTGGGGAGTGCAGGAGGCAGCATATAGATGGTTCTCTCTCCTTTTGCTGTTTCTATCTCTCTCTCTCTCCTTCTCCCTTCCTCTCTGAAATCAATAAAAACACTTTTTTTAATGCTCGGTGAGATTTCCTCCTCTCCATACACCAAGAAGCGCAATCTCAGGACCTGGAGGGAAAGGCGTCCCCTTTTCCATGGGTCCAGCATCACTAGCGAAGGCTCAGGGCACTGACCTGCCTCGTCCCCCACGAGGACTCCGTTCTCGCAGGCCGCACCGAACGTGTATGGCTTGCAGTGGCACTGGCACGTGGTGCCCTCCACGGCGGCGAGGCCCCCGTTCTGGCAGGGCTGGCAGTGGCAGGGGTCGGACTCATCCAGGTATTCCTCCAGGGCCCGTCTCAGGTAGAGTCTCTTCACCGCGGCGCAGGGCACCTCCTTCACCAGCTCATACAAAGGTGTCAGCTGCCAGGGAGAGACATCCAGGCAGAAGCCATGGTTTCAGACGACAGTATTTTTTCTTGTTGTTGTTTTTTGGCAGTTAAGCTCAATCCCCATGGAAACACTTACGTTAATTCCAATCATTTCTTATTCAAATAAAAAGAGAAAATAATTCACTTTCCTTGCAAGAGAAATCTAGGGAATATTAGGACCAGCTAGAGAAGGGTCCTATATGTCTCTCTCCTCTTGAACAGCACGTATAAAATTCTTTATACCAACGGGACATCTATTTTCTAGTTATTGAAGGGTTGTTTTGAAGACAATCCATTTTCACCCCCGCAGAGGACAGAGGAAAAGGAGGTGCACTTATGTCACAGTCAGAACACGTGCAATTAAAGTTAAAGACCAGCCCTCTTTCTCTCTGAAGAGATTTAAAACAGGTTTGCATTGTTGCTCTGTGGTGGATATGTCCATTGCTTCAAGACCACAGGGGTGTGGCAAGTTTTAACAATTTGCTCAGTCAGGAATAAGAAGATTCTGGTTTGTAAATCAGTGTAATTGCTGGCACCATGGCTGATCACAGGTTACCTCCACGATGTCACAGAACAGAGCACAGGACTGGGAAGAGATGCACATAACGCTTTGGGGAGAGTTACTACAAGCTGCCTCAGACATAACTAAGATTTACTCGGAGAATCGGTCACATTTCCCCCATCTCTGCCCAACTTTTCGGAACCGGATGGCATCATACGGCCGTATGGCTGAAACATGCCTCTACTCTCTCTGTTCCTGTCCTGTGAGACTGATAAATTAGCACAGTTAACTGATAACTACAGTCCTATTGGAAAAGTGCAGTTGAGAATGAAAAAGAATCTCTGTTCTTTTCCAATCAACAATTCAGGATTTTTGACCATTTGTCAGGGATACTGACAATGAAAATGGGCCACGTTGGCTCTTAACGAATGGCACTTTGAAATGAGAGCTCCTGGGGAAACTTCCCCCTCCCCCATCACACATATTAGGAAGCAAATGGGTACAATATGTTGTTGGGGGGCAACCTGAGAAGCAATTGTAGTTTTGAGTTTATAACATATGCCCGGGTTTCTTCATCTCTCACGGTCAATTTCACCTGGACATTGCTTGGCTCCCATGGCAGGGAACAGCTCGTAGAATCAATTCTGCTATAGCATTTGTTTTGAAAATATGAATTTGTTCCGTTAAGATGGTCATAGTAAGAAATAATATAAGCATACCACACACATTTTGCTTTTTGCTTACGTACAATTTTGTCCACAAGAGACACCAGGTGAGCACAAAAAACTGCACGCACCTGAACCAAACCACACAGGAATACACAACACACACAAGCACACACCTCAAACATCCATCCAGTTCACCGCCTATGTGTAAACTACACCCATCCACATCCCGTGTTAAAGCTGTCTGTCACTTCTGATTGCTCTCCTTCCACTTTACAACAATTCACAAGCTGTAACTGCTCTGTCACCCAGCCGGCCACATTTCCTAGTAAAGGCCACATTCATTACAGTAGATGCATTTCTTAACAGTTAACCATGTATAAAACTGTGCTGCTGGCTTTTATTTTGTCTCGTTTTTTATTTTTTGGTGTCTATATATATATTTTTTTAATGACTGTCACAGATTAAATTTTTAGTGTTGTGTCCCTGACCACATTCCCCCTTCCCTCCCCATCAACCCTGTAGTCTTTTTATTGTGCAATTTTGCCTAGCTCCCTGACTTTTAGGAACACGTTGGTTACATTCTAAAAGAACTGGCTGTATCAATAAAACATCCTAAACCTCCACCAGCCCAACTGGTTCGGTCTTAATTTCCATGCCTCCGGGAGCTTACAGGCCATGACCATAGGGAGAAGGTGGTCTGACAAATATCATGAGCCTGAATTCTTTCCTCATGCGAGACTCTATAGCTCCTCTGTATGAGGGGACAAGGAAAACAATCTGATTTAGGGCAAAAGCTTAACATGCAAATTTTTTCATTAATTTCTCTTGGGATTGGTATTTTATCATTACAACTGAAATACAGACAGGCAAGATAACAAACCTTCTGTTTCTTATGATTATGTATGCATTCCTTTTCTCATACAGACACAAACTGAACTTCAGAAAATGCTAGCCACAGTCTTCCCTGTTTAATCACCTTGATTTAATCTCCCTACCCCAGTGCAAAGCAACAGGGCTGCTTTCTGCTGCATGTAGGCGGGGCATCACGCACCTTCTGTTTTATGACCTGGGGCAGTTCGGGCACGGATCCCGCCCAGGAGGCATACCGCTTCTGGTTTCCAGCAGGGTTGTCCAGCTCCAGGTAACTAAGACCAGACACAAAGCCTGAACGGCCCCCTCGGACAAATGGGTCCCCTCGCAACATGTTGCCCTGAGTCCCTGCACAAGGAGAAATCAAATAGAGGAAGTCAGGATCCACAAATGAAAATGAGAGCAAAAGTGTGAAATACCTATCAAGTGTGAAAACACAACTTGTCCAATTGTATGACTCTGGAAAAGGCAAAACCATGGAAACAGTAAAAAAAAAAAAAAAAAAAATTTTAAAAAAGCAAACAAAAAAGCAATCAGTGGTTGCCAGGGGTGGGCAGTGGGAGAGAGGGAAATCTGGAGCACAGAGGGGTTTTAGGGCAGTGATGTTATTGTCTAGGACACTCTAATGATGGCTACATGTCATTATACATTTGTTCAAACCCATAGAAGGTTCAATAGCAGGAATGAACCCTCCAGTGAACTGTGGACTTTGGGTGATAATAATGTGTCAATGTAGGTTCATTAGTTATGACCAATGTCCCTTAAGGACACCTGCTAACGTGTCAAAGGACTTTGGTGACCAAGAATTAACCAGAGAGGGATGGAGGTGAAGCTTGTAATGCATGCTGCCACCTTCTCATTTACCTGAAGCCCATTTTAAAGCATCTTTCAGCTCCTTGCATTTGCTTGAAGAATCATGACCAAACACAAAGTTGACATTTTTGGATGAACATTTTTTCATATTTATTGAACTAACACCTGTTGGGGAGAATTAAAAGGTGCTTAGTTTCCGTATTTGTTGACAACCTTTGAGACATAGTCGGGTGTGAGGATCAGAGGATGTTTCCTACCACTGAGCCCGTCTAATCAAGAGTGACATGATACGGACATTTCCAATGCTCTACAAAAGCAAAGAGTCAAAAAGGGGATATTTGACTTATGTCTGATATCAAACAAAGGAAGAGAGTCTACACATACTTTCAAATGGTGGCGCCAATATTGGCTCCTATTAATTATGACCAGAAAGAGAAGGAGGTGCTGGTTTTTTCTACATGAAACAGCAGACAGAGCAGAAGATAAATACCCCAAGGAGTGATGCATTTCACCCATCCATAGTCAGCTTTTTGGGCATAAAGCAAATAGACAAAAATAGACTGTGATGGCCTCCAGCCATCTCCTGGTCACCCCAAAAGCTGGGTTCTGGTTCTTCATCAATTAATTCCTAAAATGCTAGTTCTGCAGCCTCTGTCTCTCCATCTTTAACATCGCTAGTTTCTAACATTTCCTTCCCCTGACTCAAAACCTTAGTATGTGAAAATTACCACTCATTATGCAATGCCTTTATTTTGTTTTGTTTTTTTAATGAGGATCAATAATAAAGTGTGGAAAGATGTTTTTCTTATATAATTTTATTAAACATAATAACCTCAATATCTCTTAAAGAACAGTTGAGGACATATACAGGGTGGGGCAAAAATAAAGTTATAGTTGTTTGCTTGGAAAATAATACAATAACTAACAAATAATAATATAAGAATAAACTGTGTTTTATGTCCTCACAACTATAAAACTACTTTTGCCCCTACCCTGTATTATATTCCGGGAGATTTTACTCAAAAGAATACTTTTACCAACTTGAAAAGCTTTAAAAAAAAATTTCTCTCCATTTCTTTTAAGTGCTAAAAAATAATAAAGGCAGCAAACCTGGTTTTCGATCAAGTCACCTTCTAGATTAAATTTCCAAGGAAATATTATCTCTGTCGCTGCTGAAAAACCTGTGCTTGTGCAATTTATTTCCAACTTGTGAAGTTAGGAAACTTCCAATATTACTTAAATGTTAATTGGTAAAAATCAAGCGCAAAGGAAAAAACTAGGCAATGGAAACAGAAAAATATGGCAATTCACCCACAAGAGAGATACAAGACCTCCTCTGCTCTCATGAAGTCTTACTCTCACTCACTCTGACACTCATCATGGAAGCTGTAAGTCTGGGAAATTACCTTGCATTCCCTCTGGTAAAAATATGATAAGACCATCGGGGACATTTGCATATGATTTCCTAGTGACGGGTATATCAAGTAGACACCTGACCTGAATCCTGCAGAATCAAATTTTAAACCTATTGTTCTAATTTTACCATCATATTTTAGTAGCAGCTATTTATTAATTATTTCTTGTTACAGAATAGTAAATGACTTGTGCTGCCTAACATTTTTAAATGCTGCTTTAATGAAATATTTAAACTTTTTTCAGAAAAGGAGTCTTTCTCTCCTCCAAGGTTATAAGGGCATCTGGACTGATAAGAGCATCCTGAGGAAGCTTGGAATGAAGAAGGAGATGTGGGCACCAGCTTAAGGGCAAAGTTGGGAAGGAACAAGTTTTCCTGGGAACATTGGTAAACCAAGGCCAAAAGGTCTCTGGAGAGGAAGAGTGGATATGAAGACACCACTCTCTCCCTTCCCACATTGGGACAGCTGATGAGGATCTGCAAAATGCAAACTCAGTGGCATGCTCTGATTCTAGCAAAAACAAGGCATTCCTATCAGACACGTAGCAGAAGGAAAACCTAAGTTAGACATTCTTACGACCTGTGTATATTCTCTTTCATAGGTCTCCACTTCTCCGTCTGTGGGACAAGAATTAGAATGGCTGTCTTACTGGGTAACAGCGAGGGTCATTGCTAAAACATGTAACTTGGCCCTACCAATGTTGCTCAGTGGTTGAGCATTGACCTATGAACCAGGTGGTCATGATTCAATTCCCGGTCAGGGCACATGCCTGGTTGCAGGCTGGCTCCCCAGTGTGGAGCATGCAGGAGAGAGCCGATCCATGATTCTTTCTCATCTTTGATGTTCTATCTCTCTCCCTCTCCTCCCTTCCTCTCTGAAATCAATAAAAACGTATTTTAAAAAAAACAAACAAAAAATTCCACACTTAAAAAAATACAAAACACATTGATTTATGTAATAATGGTTAATTCCTTATTAGCTTCCCTTAAGAAATAATATGTAATCTGAGAAATGGGAAAAGTCAAAAGATGTTCTAAAAACCCAGTCAACATCCTCTCAAGATAACGGATGAAGATAATGGATTAATTCACATTTCAGGGCACTAAAAGAATAGGCAGGCTTTTCTCAAAGCCTGTAAGATTTTGAGTAAAACGTAATGGATTCCTGCCATTTGGGATGCTTTGTAATTTAATTTCTATTTGTCTTATTTTAGAGATTTAAAGTTTAATTCCATGTTATTCCCCATTACAATCCCCACAATGCTTTTACATAAAAATTTTAAAAATACCCTACCACTTTGTTTCATTTTTTCTGTGTCCACATAAAAGAGAACCTTGTACTCTCCTCCTAAGGATCCAGACTGCAGAAAATGTGTCCCATACTTTTCGATTAATTGTCGGTAGGCACTGTAGTCGTACAGAGAGGGGAGGTAGGATAGTTCCCTCCAGAACGGCTCAGCGAGTTGTAAAAATTCCGGATTGTTATTGATGAACTGAGCCACTTCCACAGTGTTCTCAAGAACCAACAATTGATAACTCTGTGGGAAGAGGAAACAGTAAAAGGAGTTTTAGGTGGAAGATGAAAGGTAATGGTCATAGTTCCCTGTTCAATGTCTCCATCAACTGCCTCTTCCTCAGCTGCCACCTTCCACCCAGTCTATATGAAGTTTGATTCTGCTGCATGACAAGGTCTCTTCTGCACCCACTCACTTGAAGCAGTCCAAGAAATTTTTGGAATCCTAAATAGGAATAATACCTGAAGGATGTCATGGTAACTGCTTTTATACATGACCTATAAAACCCATGACCAAGTTGTTAATGTAGTTTGTCAACTACAAACAGAGAACCAACTTCATTAAATGCTAGATAATTTCACAAATCTACACTAATAAAAGAGAAGCATGCAAATTAACCATCACTCCTCTACACCAAGCCACACCCACCAGCTAATCAAGAGTATGCAAATTAACCCAACCAAGATGAAGGCCGACCACAGAGCTGGAGCAAGCAGGAGGCTTGGGTTACCTCAACAATGGATAGGGCAAACCAGCTGGCCCCCGCCCATGCATCAGGCCTCTATCCTATCTAATAAAAGAGTAATATGCAGATTGACCATCATTCCAACACACAATATGGCTGTCCCTATGTAGTCAAAGATCCTGCCCCCATGTGGACACAAGATGGCCAGCAAGAGAGGGCAGTTGGGAGGCACCAGGCCTACAAGGGAGGACAGTTAAGAAGGACCAGGTCTGCAAGGGAGGGCAGAGTAAATACAATCAAGCCTGCAGGGGAGGGCAGTTAGGGATGACAGGCTGGCAGAGGAGGGAAGTTGGGGCCAAACTGGCTTGTAGGGGAGCAGTTAGACATTAATCAGGCTGGCACGGAAGTGGTTAGGGGGTGATCAGGCTGGCAGGCAGAAGTGGTTAGGGGCAATCAGGAAGGCAGGCAGGTGAGTAGTTGGGAGCCAGCAGTTCTGGATTGTGAGAGGGATGTCCGACTGCCCATTTACGAGGAGTCCCAGATTGGAGAGGATGCAGGCTGGGCTGAGGGACACACCCCCTGTGCACAAATTTCATGCACTGGACCTCTAGTGCAGATTATAATTTTTTTTTTTTTAGCAATAAGCATGTAACAAGTAATACAAATCATGTTAACTGTTTAGATTGCCTGAGATGTAAGTTTTGACATTTCAAAACAACAAAGTATCTTAAATCTTTTAACTTCCTTATGTGAAAATTTTGGTATCTCAAAAGTAATAAAGTATTTTAAATCTTTTCTATTATTAGCATTTAGGAAGCATATATTAATTGGACTTTTAAAATTATAACACTTAAAATAGTATCATCAGTAAGCATGGATGAGGAATTTAGGAAAGTTTTAACTAGAAGATGTGAAGGTAAACTTTTTTTAGATTTTCAAATATGTACAAATACTTTAATAGAAAAATGAAAGTACACATAAATACACCAAAGGAATTAACAAGAGGAGATCATACCTTTTTAAAGAAATGTATTTTCTCTTTGAGAAAGATACTATTGCCCTATTTAAAAAATGGAAGCTGATTCTTTTGGTAAACACTTTTGTCAATATTACAAATAACTAAACTGGTAAAATATGGAAAAATTAACTTATTTCATACTAACCTTTTTTTTCTGATTTTCCATGAAATTTGAATTACTACTGTATGAGTTAGAAGAAGATGATGAAATTCCAAAAAAGGAGCGTTTCCTTGAAGATGATGTAGTCACTGTGGATGTTTGTTTTACATAAGACCAGCTACTATTGTAAAATTCATAATTAAAATTATTATTTATTTTCACCTATAAAGAAAATGAAAAATTTTGCTCTAACCAAACTTGGACAAAATGAAGAACCTTTTATCATACATCCTTTAATATGGATATTTGCTTCCTACAATCTCTGAAAGACAAAGGCCTTTATTGACACAAAACAAGTGTGCCTTGCCCCCGCCAGTGTGGCTCAGTTGGTTGAGTGTTATCCCATGCACTGAAAGGTCACTGGTTTGATTCCCCATCAGGGTATATACCAAAGTTGCAGACTCGATCCCAGAGCAGGGTGTGTACAGAAGGCATCTCATCACTGTTTCTCTCTCTCCTCCCTCCTTCTCTCTCTAAAATCAATAAAAACTTATAAAAAATAAACAACAGCCGAAACAGGTTTGGCTCAATGGATAGAGCGTCAGACTGCGAACTGAAAGGTCCCGGGTTTGATTCCGGTCAAGGGCATGTACCTTGGTTGTGGGCACATTCCCAGTAGGGGGTGTGCAAGAGGCAGCTGATCAATGATTTTCTCTCTCATCGATGTTCCTAGCTCTCTATCCCTCTCTCTTTCTCTCTGTAAAAAATCAATAAAATATATTTTTTTTAAAAAACAAGTATGCTTCTCCTTAAGACTAGGCCTGCATGAATATAAGAAATGAAATTTATTCTGTAATTACTCTTTGTGAAGCCGGAAACATGGTATCAATAATGGCAATCCCAAGGGTTTCTCAAAATACATCTGTGGGATCCCCATTAGGGGGCGTGGAGAAGGCAGCTAATCAGTGATTCTCTCTTGTGGTTGATGTTTCTGTCTTTCTTTCTCCCTTCATCTCTGAAATCAATAAAAATATATTTTTTAAAAATATATATCTGTGTACAAACATCTTCCATTTTCCTTTACAGTGAACATTTAGCTCAGAATTGAGCAAATTAACAAGGCTACACTAAAAAGAGAACTACAAAGCATTTGCTTCTTAATGTATTTTTTTGTCTAACAGAGAGGAACAGAGATGCAAATAGGTTACATCATGCAATCAAATTACTTGGATTTTGTTATAGAACATTCTATGTGATTTTGTAGTGTATTTAACTTTCCAATTCTGTATAATTTATGTGAGTAAGCCTCTTAGGTCCTTAGTTCGGCCATCTACTCTACACATAACTAACTGCAAGAATCATCTTTTTTCAAGGTAGTATAATCTTCTTAAATTTTCCTTAATTCCATAGGAAACAGTTGGAAACAGCAATAAAAAGACCATCTACATCAGCATGAATGAAATTCAAAACCATAATTTTGAGTAAAAAAGACAATCCGTGAAAGAACATATACCATATGCATACCTATATTTATATAAAGGACCCCATACAGTCAAAATAAAACTACAAATTTTTATTTGGAGACAAAAACACAGGGAATAGACAGAAAAACAAGAAAATTATTAATACAAAAGGCAAGATAGTGATGCCTTAGAGAGGTGGGGAGAGGAGGACTGAGCAAAGAATGGTAAGCGAGAAACTTTAAGTCACTGATAATCTATTTCTTTAGGTGGATAACAGACAAATATGAGTATTTGTTCTATTAGTTTTTCCCAAATTGCACATATATGTTCTTCACACTCTTTTGTACATATGAAATCTTTTACAATTTGAAAAATAAAATATGTTTCTGAGGAAATGATCATACCAGGGCCTTGACTTTTAACACCCACGCTGGGACAGACCAGGTTGTCCTGGGCCTGCACGGAGCAGAGGCCAAATGAAAATGAGGTAAAAGGAGATTTCAGATCAAATGAAATAAGTTATAGTACCCTTGCCCCATGCTCTAGGGTTACATAATGGGTATTCTTTATAGGAATATTTGTTTTTATTGATTTTAGAGAGAGAAGAAGGGGAAGGATAGAGAGATAGAAACATCGATAAGTGAGAAACATCAATTAGCTGCTTCTTACATACCCCACACTGGGGATCGAACCCACAACCTAGGCATGTGCCCTGAGTGGGAATAGAATCCTGACCTCTTGGGTCATAGGTTGACACTCAACCACTGAGCCACCCCAGCCAGGCTGGGATTTTTTTTTTTTAAGTCCATATAAAACATTTTTAAAAATATATTTTATTGATTTTTTACAGAGAGAAAGAGAGAGGGTTAGAGAGTTAGAAAAATCGATGAGAGAGAATCATCGATCAGCTGCCTCTTGAACACCCCCTACTGAGGATGTGCCACAACCAAGGTACATGTCCTTGACCGGAATCAAACCTGGGACCTTTCAGTCCGCAAGCCGACGCTCTATCCACTGAGCCAAACCGGTTTCGGCTCCATATAAAACATATATAAGAATTGACCACATAGTAAGCACAAGTAAGCTCTCTGCAAATATTCCCAAAAATATATATATATCATGTAAATAATGATTTCTGGCAGCAAGTCACAGGTTGGAAATAAGTAAAGTCAATATAATTCAGTACCTCAAATGTGTAGGAGAGGACATTGGCACTCAGCCTGTAGTAGTCTTTTTTATCCCCACTGAACACCTTTCTGCACTGACCGCCGAAACTTTTCGTGTTGATGACTCTGCTCCGGAACTGGCCAGTGAGTGCATTGTAACTGTTGTGGATTTTTTTTTTAACAGGAAGAACAGATGGTTAAAAAATCAGAAATAGCACTTGCTGGAAAGGACTTCATCAGAGAACTCTAGAAATACATTACAGTTAAGTATGTCTTTGAAAAAGAGCTCAGATAAAGAGGACCGAATTCTTATGCATACTACGGTATATGTCCTCCAGCCTCCCTTGCTTGGCATGGTAGCTAAAACTAATATCTGGGGAAATCCAACCTCTTTCAGCCTAAGCACATGTTTGGGAAATGCATGTCCTTGTGTAGCTATGGCAACAGCTGGCTTTGAATTGAATCTACAGATAAAACCAATACAATTACGATTACCTTCGAGGAGAGAGAGCACTCTACAAAGAATTTCGACTGATTGCCTCTAAGCATGTTGCCTGGTGTCCTCTTTAGGCTAATTTTATCGCTTCTCTGTGGATGCATTTTAAAATATTATAGAAAAAAAATCACACCTATCATTCTATAATAGATTATTTTAAAGCCTTGAAATCTTAAGTTGGGTCTGACCCTTGAAAATTCTTCAGAATTCTTTTTGAAAAGACAAACACAGGATTGTCTCAACTTTACTTGGAAATAAAAGTCCCCAGCTCATCTGAGCAATTACTTTTTAGCCTGCTCTCTCTCTCCCCTCTCTCTCTAGCAAGGTGACCGACTATTTGAATTTTCCCAGGTCTGTGAGGTTTTCTTGTATGTAAGACTTTCAGTGCTTAAATCAGGACAGTCCTGGGACAATTGTTCACTCCATAGTTTACTGCGTATGTATTTATGGGTATACAGACATAAATTTAAAAATTGTTGGCTATCAGGTGATTTGCAATTAAACTTTCAAAAAAAATAATACCAAAATGACTACCAATATGCACAGTTGGCTGCCCAGCCCCTTACCCAATTCCAGTAAGTTCAATGTTGGGAGGAGGTTTATCAAGGTCACAGGAACGTCTGCTGTCTGTGTCCTCGCATCCATCCTCATCAGTGCCGTCTTCATCACAGTCCGAATCCCCATTGCAAACCAGAGACTTGCTGATGCACTGGCCTGACCACGAGAAAAGCAACCGCACAGAAATAAAGAAAGGGAGAAAGGAAACCACCACGTGGGATCAAAATGTCTGCCCACAGCTCCCAGCAGCACTGGCATTTCAGTGTGAATTCAACATCCCTCCTCAGCATGTTCCAGGAAGGACTGCTGATTATTTTGGTTCTTATTTTGCAACACACAAAAGTGACTCTTGCCAAAACCAAGTGGATAGAGCGTCAGCCTGAGGACTAAGAGGTCCCAGGTTCGATTCCGGTCAAGGGCATGCACCTTGGTTGCCGGCACATCCCCAGGAGGGGGTGTGCAAGAGACAGCTGATCGATGATTCTCCCTCATCAATGTTTCTAACTCTCTATCCCTCTCTCTTCCTCTCTGTAAAAGATCAATAAAATATATTTTAAATATATATATTTTTTTTTTAATTGACTCTGACCTTGGCCAGACACAAAACTGAGAATAAAGCCTGAATTCCAATGCCAGGCTCTCACTCATGAGCATCAAGCCGTTTGTCTGAGTCCTTCGAAACCAGACCATGCCAACCACTGGGAAGACAGACTGACCTCCTGCCCTTGAATTTTTGGTTTCTTTTCTGGAATCTTTGACCAAGATGCCTAAGTCCTGCTTTTCTTGGTGACTTAGATGTGTGAGCTTTGAGAGCATAGGAACTGAGCCACAAGGTTACAGCTCAACATTAGCACCTACTCTGTATCTCCATACACCTACTCTGTATCTCCATACTTGTATCCCCACACCCAGAAGAGAGACTCTTCTGGGTGTGGGGATACAAGTATGGATAAAAATGGTATTTGTTAGTTTCCTAATACATTTTGCAAAGTCATAGGAATGATATAAAGACATAGATCATGACAATTCAATTACACAATTGTCATAGTAGACATAAGCGCAGGGTTCCCAGGATGCTCTGAGGGTATAAATGATCAAACCCCTGCCAACCTCCGAGCATCCTCTGCAGCCACTTAGCTAGCTTCCCATGCCCTAGTCATCCGGGATCACTTCTATGAATAAAGGCCAGACTTTCCCTCGTCTCCACTGACCTTGCACTTATAGTTCTCTCAGCCCAGAGGGTTTCCTCTACCAACACCTGCTTGTCTTCAAGAATCAAATGACACTTGATCTCCTTTCAGAAACCATCCCTACCCCGCAGGCTACAATGCATGTCCTTCCTCTTGTCCCCGTAGTGTGCATTGCACACGCTGTCCTGACAGGATAGCACACTCCCGCTATGCTGCCCCTCAAGCCCTTGTAGCAAACAATCGTTGAGCGTGTACCAGGCATTCCAGATGCAAAAAACACATAGGATACAGGCTGGGGCAAAAGTCAGTTTACAGTTGTTCATATGGAAAATATAATAATCAATTAATAAATGATAAGGTAAGAACAAACTCTGTGTTTTGCATACTCATAACTCTAAACCTACTTTTGACCACCCTGCATGTCTTCAAAGAGTTCAGTCTGGCCCTAGCCGGTTTGGCTCAGTGGATAGAGCATAGACCTGTGGACTGAAAGGTCCCAGGTTCAATTTCAGTCAAGGACACATGTCTGAATTGTGGGCTCAATCTCCAGTAGGGGATGTGCAGGAGGCAACTGACCAATGATTCTCTCTCATCATTGATGTTTCTCTCCCTCTCCCTTCCTCCCTGAAATCAATAAAAATATATTTTTTAAAAAGAGTTCAGTCTGTCAAGAGATATCCAGGCCAACCAATACTCCAGGTTACAGATGTACATAGGAAACAAGGAAGTGATTTGTTAGTTAGTTCTCTTGGTTAGAGGTTTAGGGAAGGCTTCTCAAAGGAGGTGTCATGTGATTTGAGTTTTGAAAATAAAATAAGAGTGTGATAAGTATTTCTAAGGAACACTTCAAACACAGGGATTATGTATGTACTATTCTGTCGGTAAAACTTTAAATTTTTTTTTTGAGGGAAAAGGCTATGTGTTTTATTTCTAAATCCACAACACTTTTATATATCTGAAATATAACAAGAATAATAAATGCTTGCTGAGTTAATCTGACTGCATAAATGCAACATAAAAATAAATTAAATAATAATGGAAAAACTATGCTTCAATTACCCATGTATCAGGGTTGCTCCTTGATTAGCTCTTAGAGTTGCTTTTCTTATAAACATAATAATTATTTTGGTAGTAACATTGTTTTTTCCCAGTCTCAATGCAATGCCAAGAATGTTTGGTTCTGCCTATTGTCTTTTTTCCCCCCCAAAGAGGCAAAGAATCTTCCCACTTTTAGTACTACATGCCTCCTTTTACATTTAAAAGAATAATAGTTGAGTGTGATTATCATACCATTAACAATGATACTGATATTTGAGGAAAATTAATTTATAGGTCAGTATAAATTCAGTAAAATTCAACAAATACATACCGAGGAATTTAAACAAATAACATTTGAATTTACACTCTGCCTATGGAAGACCAGTACCTGAAAAACACCGGAAACGCTGTCCACATCCCTCTTCCGCTGGACATCCTTGTGTAGGTTCACACATTTGTGTCTGAAAAGCACTTCCAGTACAGGGTTGGCCACCATACTGGGCATAAACATCAATCATCCGCCTGCTAATCTAAACAAAGAACAGGTGGTGCTTATTGATAGCTCCAGATGCCTTTATCTGAGAAATAAAACCTGAGAAACATTAATACAATTGGAGAAACAATGTCTGGGAAATGGTCCTGGATCCCACAGAAGGAAAACCTACAGTGAACCTACAGACCCACTTGTCCTTGAGTTCAGTGACACTTGGATTGTTATTATAGATAATATATTATATTTTTTAATGTATATATGTATGTATATATTTACTCTCAGGAGTGAGTGCTAAATATATATATTAGAGAGTCTTTAAGAAAGTAACCTAAAAGAATTAGTTGTGTAAACATGTATGCAAATAGACTGAAATACAGATAAATGTCTTTGCCAAAGCTTTGTACCAAGAGCTAACTAGAAGGGTGACAGTGAATTTGGCTGGAGAGAGGGTAATGGTTTTGGGAAGAGGGTTGAGATGAGAAGGATCAATTGATTAGAACTGAATGTTAACCCTTAATCAGGAAGGCAAGTCAAGACAAAACAATCCAGATAGAAATGTGTTCACATGGAAGTCAAATTTACAAAACAGAAGCCTGGCCTGTGTGGTTAAGTGGTTGAGCATTGACCTCTGAACCAGGATTCCCGGTCAGGGCACATGCCGAGCTTGCAGGAGGCAGCCAATGATGTTTCTCTTTCATTGATGTTTCTATCTCCCTCTCGCTTCCTCTCTGAAATCAATAAAAAATATATATTTTAAAAAATTTTACAAAACAGAAACTTTAGTAGTCAAAGATGAAGCTGCATCTATTGTACAACAGGATGTTAAGAAACAATAAATTTTTGTACATGAGTATTTGTTACAAATATTTTAGCAAATGCTTTCTATTTCTCTTGCTTATGCATATCTTGGCTGGTGTTACAGAAAAAATAGTGCAAACATCATTTCCTTAGTGGGGAATGAGGATTTTTTTTCTTTTTCTTTTTCTTCTTCTTTTTTTTTTTTTTTAGTGTGTGTGGGTGGGGGGGGTGGTTTATGTTGAATGTTTAGTTTTTCTTCTGCATGAAACATCATGTTGTGGGATCTTTAGAAAACTTTATACTGTATGAATAAAAAAAATAAAATATTTGGAACCTGAAAAAAAAAAAAACACACAATCAAAATCCTTGATGTCTAAAATGGGAACTAGCTCAAAAGCCAACCTCTGAGGAGGTGAGAGGAGGAAGGGGAAAGAGGGGAAAATTTAGAAAATCATCAAGCAAATTGAGAAGCAACTAATGTCCTTAAATGCAACAATCAACATCTAATGCTTAAACAACAACAAAAGTATCCAATGCTTAAACAACAACAGAAATATCTACAACGCCCTTTCCCTCCTCAAAGATGTATCATCAAAGCCTCTTCCTAAATCAACTCTTCCCCATCAATGAGTAAAATCTGACATTCCAGAGCATGTATCCTTGAGCAAAGACCAACAGGGAAGACTAGATATGTTGAGTCTATTCATCCGTCTTAAACTGGCAAGAAGTGGGGATTCCTTGGGACAAAGGGTCACAGGAATGTGATATGAACTCTGAAAAGTTTTACATCAGCCTTGGGCTCTGGCATTTCTTGGTGGGGAATGGAACTCAAGTACAGTTTTTATTATTATTATTATTATTATTATTATTATTATATTTTTATTGATTTCAGAAAGAGAGGAAGGGAGAGGGAGAGATAGAAACATCATTGATGGTAGAATCAGTGATAAGCTGCCTCCTGCACACCTCCTACTGGGGATCGAGCCTGCAACCCAGGCATGTGCCCTGACAAAAAAAACAAAAACAAAAAACGTGACCTCCTAGTTCATAGGTCGACACTCAACCACTGAGCCACACCAGCTGGGCTCAGTACAGTTTCTGTGTTTAATTGATGAACACACCCCTCATGTATGGCTGATTAATTTGTCCTTCTCTGAAGTTCAAAGCACGGACTGTGTTAGTGCATAACAGGGATGTTTTCCCTCCCTGTCTGTCAGGAGGCCCTTGATGACTGCCTACGCTCAGCAGTCTCATTCTCACCTGTCAGATTCTGATCTATGACCCCTTTTCATTTTCACTTGTCTCTTTCTGGATGGAAATTTTGATTGTAAGAGCTGGATGTATCCAGTGCATCATGACCTTTTCTCAATGAGAAAAAAATGCTAATATGAAAAATACCTTTTATGTACTTCTATTTAGTATTCTTTCTTAACGTTTTTAAAATTATAAAAACCTTTTCTGTGGTAGGTGTTTGTCTGATGTTCGCCTTGTTATTTGTGTACTTTTTTTGCCTATAATCAGAGTTGTCATCTATTATATTTGCCAGAAGCCAAATTCTGCAACTGTGTAACTTATTTTGTAAATACCACTCACAGAGGTATTAGATAAAAGCTTCATGAAAATTATGATTATGATGATGCTTCAAAATTATGTTCTGAAATATGTTTCTGTTGTTCTAATAACTTAAAATTGATTTTAAATACATATTTTTATCCAAACAGCACCACTTCTAAACTAGTTTACAAATATTGAATAATACTGTGCACCTCAAAATATTATAATGTTACCTGTCAATAATATTTCAATAAAAAATATTTGAACATTCAAATGTTTAGAAACTTTAAAACAAATATCATAGCCCTGGCCAGTTTGGCTCAGTGGATAAAGCATCAGCCTGTGAACTGTATGGTCCCAGGTTTGATTCCTGTCAAGGGCACATGCCCGGGTTGCAGGCTCCATTCCCAGTAGGCGGCATGCAGAAGACAGCTGGTCAATGAATCTCTCATCATTAATGTTTCTCTCTCTCCCTCTCCCTTCCTTTCTAAAATCAATAAAAATATATGTCAAAAATAAAATAAAACAAACATTATATTTTTCAAATTCATCCTAAAGAATTATCAGAAAAGAGGATATATGCCTCTGTGTAAAAATGTTCACTAAATTTTTATTCATAATAACCAAAAATGTAAATAATCTAAAATTTCAAACAATCGAAAAGTAGGTAAATAAAATTTTAATATATTTATATAAGGAACATAATACAGCTATTAAAATCATGCTGATAGCCCTAACCAGTTTGTCTTAGTGGATAGAAACTCGGCCTGTGGACTGAAGGGTCCCAGGTTCGATTCCAATCAAGGGCATGTACCTTGGTTGCATGCACATCCCCTATAGGGGGTGTGCAAGAGGCAGCTGATTGATGTATGTTTCTAACTATCCCTCTCCCTTCCTCTCTATAAAAAATCAATAAAATATATTTTTAAAATTCATGCTGACATATATGCATAACCCATAAACATAGACAGTAATGTGGAGAAGGATTGGGGTGGGGTGGGAGCTGGGTGGAGTGGGAAAAAAGGGGGGAAATGGAGGACATGTCTAATACTCTCAACAACAAAAAATAAATTTAAAAAAAATTCATGCTGACAGTATGTCAGGTTAAACAGTAGAATACAAAACTAGGATCAAATAACCTTAATTTTAAAAACCATAAACACACATAAAGAAAACAAAAAAATAAATAAATACCAAAGTGCTGTTATAGTTATTTTTTCAAAATGGTGGAAGTATAAGTAGTGTTTTCTTTGTGTGTACTTTTCTGTTTTTTCTCCAATGAGTAATTTATAATAAGAAAAAAGCATACATTTTTAGAAGTAACTCTATAATCTCCAGAGCAGATCTGGTCTTTCGTTTGTACAACTTACAAATGAAACTTTAGACGCACTCTCCGTCTGAGGAGCACGCCCGTGCCGTCCCCCTCAGCCACGTGTTCCCAGCCTCTCAGGGACCCAAGAGACTTGCAACCAGGGGGGTCAGGGCAGCAGCAGCTCCACCCGGGCCAACCCCTGCGCCTCTCTCCAAGGCCCCTTTTCTTTGTTTAGCCCTTCCCTTTGGATAGCCACATCTCCCATACCCTTCCCTTAATAATTTCTTTTTTTTTTTTTAAATGAAACTTTAACACATTGCAAAATGTTTGACTTTTCATGGTCACCCACTGCTTGTCACGTAAAACAAAGCGGTGATTTTGCCACTTGTTGGTGTTTATTTCAAATACGAAGACAAGTTGAATCCATTAAACTTAAATCGGGTTTTGAATTGTCTACAGAGTTCATTTCATGCTGTTCTTGTTTCTCTACTAGCTCAGGAGTTAGTGAGCTGCTTTTCATGGTTAGCCTATGTATATTTTTAGTAAGATTTAGAAAAGATTTGTTAAAATCCTGTGAGAAAAGGCTAGAATGCAGGTATTACTTTATTACAATATTAATTATTATACAAGTTATACTTCTTTTCCTTTAAAGTTACTAATTACATTTTCAAGAAACAAACAAAAAAAATAGCATGTATTCAAACGTGAATGCCCTTTTGTCCACGCCTCAGCTGTTTCAGCAGATAAGCAATAAATACAGTTTCTGCGTGGGCCCACCTGGGACTTTGTGCAGCCGTTGCATTCTGACCAAGGGCCGAAGGAACCCCACTGGCAGTTGACGGGAGAAGAGGCGCTGTCCAATGGTTCATCGTCAGGCAGGTGGAGAGATAAGAGAGCGGGGACACAGAACAGTCAACAACAGTCAGGTACAGTCAAAAATTGTTTCACAGATTTACTGTCGAAGAGGAACCAAAAGCATCCCAAAATATATTTTTCCAATATGTAAAAGGGACCCACTTTCTGAGGGGTTGACATTCATTAAACATCTATCATGTACCAGGCACTATGGAAACACTACAGTTGTAGACATATTAAAAGAGATAGGTCCTCTAACTGTTGATAGAGGGCAGGACAAAGACACAGATGCATCAACACTGTGGTCACAGTACAATAATACAACCGGAATCCGTAATGCAATAAATCTAATCTAAAAGATTCACGATAGGAATGTGTACGGGATGATGTTATGGAAATGTAGATAGGGGAGTGGTCAGAGTGGGGAGGGGGAGATAAGTGAGAACATCTAGCAGGAAGGTATTGTAGCCTTTGGAAGGATTCTGAGGGATGACTGAAAAAGTTATTCAAAAACTCTCAAACCAGGGAGACCAGGAATTCTAGAAAGACCCTGGGAGAAGTGGGATACTGAAAACGAGCAAGGGCTAAATGAGCAGGAATTGATTTTTAAATGCTCCTCTGTTCATTGAGGTCCCTTCTTCAGCACACACCCATAGAGGGGAAATCCGAGCCTAAACAAGTGCACTCAAATCAAGTGCATGTGGCAAATGGGGAGTGGGCGCTCACACCAGGCTGAACTCCAGCGGGGTGGAGGTCACATGCCTTAGCCCTAAGAAATTCTCCTCTCATATCCACGAAGGGTAAAGGAGTGGAGAGTCCTGATTTCTGGATTTCAAGCACACGTCTACCCTTGGCAGCACCTTCGGGTGACCTGCACTTATCCTAGGGCCATCGGCTGACCTTGACAGTGAGGAGCCGGTTCTGCAGTGTATGTCTCGCATGCTTTTATAGAGCCAAGCTTGCTAACCTGTAGTCTTGATGTGGCACCAAGGATCCCAGCGCCTTAGAATTATTGACCCTTTAACAATGTGAACTTACTATGTTCCTATTTTGGGTCCCAGGATCAGGCTGCAGGGAGGAAGCGCGCTTGGCCTCAACTCCTCCAGGATCTCGCTACACCCTGGCCAGGCCCTCAGCAGAGAGAGCCCCGAGCATGTGTGCATGGAAATCAACTGTTTCCCATCCCCGGCCTCTAGCTCAGCGCCTGACAATATCCTGATGGTTTCGTAGAGTGAACTGGCCTGGTCCCATCTTGCAAACTGACCACAAAAGCAAAGCAAGGCCGTGGGTAAATGAGGCTGCGATCTCCAGGCCCCGAGAGCCACTAAGCCTGTGTCTGAAAAGACTCTCGACCTTTAAAATCCAGAGAATGTTTTGCAATTACTACATTTAAAGAGCAAATTCTGCTCTGAGCGGTGCAAGGCAGCTGCGATTCTCCGAAAAACGGGTAAAACCACAGCTGGGACAAGCAGGAAACCGTGAGGTATTTTTCATCTTCAGGCTTCTTCCTGACAGCAAATAAAATAAGAATAAAACATGATAGCTTTTGCTATCATTGCCTCATCTCAAGATGTGGAAAGATACAGCGTTGAAGAGATAAACATGCTCAGGCTGCACTAAAAAATATCCTTAAAAAATAATAATAATAAAAAATATCCTAAAAACAAAAACAAAACAAAAAACAATTTTAATAATTTCCACACCCAATCCAAACAATTCTCACCTTGAAAAAATTGGGAACTCTGCTATAAATCCCACCAAGATGAAGAAACTTACAGCCTGGGGAGAAATAGAAGCATTATTTTAGTTTGCATTTCTTGAGTGAGTTGAAAGCCATTGCATTTGTACAAGTCAAGATTTGTGACTTAGGAATATAAAGTGAAAGGACCAGGGAGAAGGTGTGGTGACTCTACTTGTCTTTTAAATTTTTATTTTAAATAAGAGTCTGATATGATTCTGTTAAGCTCACCTCCTACTGTTCCTTTGTGTGTGTGTGGGGGGGGGGGGGTGTTTGTTTATTTGTTTTTATTTCAGAGAGAAAGGGAATGGGAAAGAGAGAGAGAGAGAGAGAGAGAGAGAGAGAGAGAGAGAGAGAGAGAGAGAGAGAGAGAGAGAGAGAGAGAAGCCTCAATGATGAGAGAGGATCATTGATTGACTGCCTCCTGCAGAACTGGGACCTCCTGGCTCATAGGTTGATGCTCAACCACTTGGCCACACTGGCTGGACCTAGTCTTCATTTCTGTAAAAACAAGTAAATAATTCTCACTGAAGTCAAATTGTCCCAAGCATTTCTTTAAGGTCTCATCATCTTTTAGTTCCTTTCTCCACTGTCCTTCTCTCTGAGTTCCTCACCCAGGAGGACACCCAGAGAGGAGAGGCTGGGAAGGACGAGCAGTGCCGAGAGCGGAGGAGTTAAAAGGGAAATACGCTTCATAATTGAAGACTCGGAGGCACACCCCTTAGTTCTATGGTGGCTCCTGGGGTCCCTGAAGAGCCTTGGAGGCCTTTGACACCCTCCTTACTCGCAGCACCAGCCAGGTGTGGGGCCTGACAGGGGACAGCATTGTGTGTAGAATGTAGCTACATTTTGTTTGAAAAAATCAAATGTGTATTGGAAAACCTATGAAGAAGTATAGCAGGATAAAAGTTTATTTCCGCTTGTGAAATCACAGGTGCTTTTTATTATCTCACTTTTACTTTTAAGTATCTGCCTACATTACCTGACAACTGAAGGTGTAGGGCGTATAATTCACATATTTACTGCAGACACTCGAAGAATATCCAATGCATTCCATGCATAACCCAGTATAAACGTCTTTAAAATCATCCGGCCCCTCATGCTAACAGGCTGGTATTCTTCCTCTTCTGCCCCAAACCTCTCCTCTCAGTCTCGCTGTGGAGTGGCTTCCCAACCTTTTTTCAGACCCTCCCATTGCCCTCCGAGGTCCCCTGTCTTCACGTTAGATATCTCCAGTCGGTTATAAAGCTCTTCTTGCCTGCCTCTGTCTTTTAAATCATACAAATCCTTCACTCTCTTATTCTAACCAGCACACCCAAGGAGCTGTGGGCCACGTGGGAATGAGTAATAATGGTGGGGGAGCTGGGATGCTTCCTGAGTCTTCAACAGACATATGAAGCATGTAATGAAAAACAACACCTTCGAAAGGTTTTATTTGTTAATTATAAACATGTTTCTCTCCTTTCTCAACATGTCTCTCAGCTCGCATGCTTCCTGCCCCGGGCACAGTCTGTCTCAGAGCTGCATCAGTCTTTCCCAGGCATGAGCAAATTTTCAGAAAACAAAAACTCTGAAACAAGTTAACAGTCAAATTTCCATTTATCATCGGATTTCCAATGTCTCTCCTGCTCACAGTTCCTGGATGCTCACGGCAGGGGAGAGGTGTTCTCCAGCTTCTCTTCCTCCATAACCCAAGTTTTTCTTCTCTTCAGCAAAAGAATTCCCTTCAGGTTTCATGTAAAAATATGAACATCTACTTTGAAATAGAGAGCCCTGCATGCAACGTTCAGCAAAATAATTTCTCTATTTTCTATCAGCCAATTGAAGGAGAAATGTATATTTATTATCATGGTAAAATAATACTGTAATAATCAATAAGAGTGGACAAGTTTTTAAGTCCAAAATAATTATTAAGATGTCTCATTACAAAATAAATAAGGAAATTGGTTGATGGTTAATAGAAATATTAGCCGAAACCGGTTTGGCTCAGTGGTAGAGCGTCCGTCTGCAGACTGAAAGGTCCCAGGTTCGATTCCGGTCAGGGGCATGTACCTTGGTTGCGGGCACATCCCCAGTAGGGGGTGTGCAAGAGGCAGCTGGTCGATGATTCTCTCTCATTGATGTTTCTAGCTCTCTATCCCTCTCCCTTCCTCTCTGTAAAAAAGCAATAAAATATATTTTTTAAAAAAATAGAAATATTAGAACTAGATGGCCCTAAGAAAAGCATCATTATTTTTGAGCTAACAAATGTTCTGAATATTTTTTCTTTTTATTGAATTTATTGAGATGACACTGATTACATTTTAAAATAAAAATACAAGACAGGGTAATAAACATTAGATTATATCATAATTCTAATTTTGTAGGGTTACTTGGTGTCCTAGCAATTGTAATTTGTGTTTAATTTGAATTATTTAATTTGGTTCATGAGTCATTCGAGACCCACATCTTACTCCTCCAACCACATTGGGAACTGAACATAGATTCAATATCACAAATGGACAGCATAGCAACCACTAAGGCCACCTTAGCAGCTGACAGGACTGAGGAATTATCGTTTCAGCATTATTATGCAAAATTCTTAACAGTTAAATATCAACATTTTCAATAATAAAATTGTGGTAGAAATTCCAAGTTATTTTTGCATCCCAGAAATACAGTTTATGATCACAACTGCTGTCTTTGGTCCTGTCTTTGGCTGAATAGTAACTTTTTTTTTGTCTTCTGGCCATTTTGCATTGGGCCAACATGGGTATTTGCTAAGCCTTTAGTTTCATTTCAACTACCTGCACCTCCTATGCTAACCCCCTAAAGTTCCAAGTCTCAGAACTCTCTTTTTTATAAAGCTCTTAGATAGCTCAGACCACAGGGGGTCCATGCTCAGCTCCAAATCAAACACACAAAACTGCACTGGAGGAAATTTTTCCTTAAGAAAAAAACAATAGTACCATTGTATGTCTTAGAGGCTTTCTCAGGACTTTCATAAATATTGTCTCCAATTTTGGATTTCCATCTCTGAACCAATACTTTAACTGCAGAATAAGAAAAAGGAATTCACTTTATCAGAATTATTAAATATTTAAGTAAGAACTTAAAAAGTCACCCTCATCATCACTATTTTCCATGTCTTCTCCTTATTCCAGTTATTTCCAGTAAGCCTTCCTTACCCTCATTTGAGATAGCTTTGTTTACAAATGTAAGGAAATAATTATCTTACCTCCATGTTGGGAGCACATTCAGTTCGGAAGAGAGGATGGAAGTTTCACCAGCTGAGGAGCCCAGCAGTCTGCATCCTCCTGGCTCTGCCCCAGGCCTTTGCTCGGCTCTCTTATATAGAGGGAGGGTTCCTGACACTCAGCTCCTACCCCAATCACATTCTCTAGGGGTTAGCTTGCCCCGGGAAAAGTCTGTGTCTTCAAGCCAGATGCATCTTATCAATCTGCACAGCCAACTGGGACTGTTTGGGAGTGTGGCTCTGGAGAAACATCTATAAATCAGGAAGGCAGAGAATGTTCTCAGTTCAATGTTTAAGTGATTTTCAACCACAGGAGGCTGTGTAAGACAAGGGATAAGCCTTCATCCTGTTTCAATCTATTAAACCAACTATTTTCTTTTTTAAAAATATATTTTTGTTGTTGATAGTATTACAAATATCTCCCATTTCCCCCTGCCTTTCTCTCCCTCCTCCCAGTCCCTACCTACCTCATATTCTCACTAACCTATTGCCCATGACTATGCTTAAGCATATAAGTATATAAATTCTTTGGTTTATCTCTTCTTATCCCCCCAACCACACATCAAGGTATGTCAATCTTTTCCATGCCTCCATGTTAATATGTTTTTATTGATTTCAGAGAGGAAGGGAGAGGGAGAGAGCAATATGGAAACATCAATGATAAGAAAAATATCATTGATCGGCTGCCTCCTGCACACCTCCTACTGGGGATTGAGCCCAAAACCTGGTCATGTGCCCTGACTGGGAATCAAACTGTGATCTTCTACTATAGATCACTGCTCAACCACTGAGGAACACTGGCCAGGCATCAACCAGCTATTTTCAATCTTTTTATCTCAGGGCACATATAAACTAATTACTAAAATTCTGCAACACACCAAAAAAAATATGTTTTTGCCCATCTGACAAAAAAAACAAAACAAAAAAAAAAACAGGTATTTTATTTTTTAAAAATATATATTTTATTGATTTTGTACAGAGAGGAGGGAGAGAGATAGAGAGTTAGAAACATCGATGAGAGAGAAACATCGATCAGCTGCCTCTTGCACACCTCCCACTGGGGATGTGCCCGCAACTAAGGTACATGCCCTTGACCGGACCCTTCGATCTCCAAGCCGACGCTCTATCCATTGAGCCAAACCGGTCTCAGCAACAGGTATTATTTTGATTCATTCACATCAAATGGCTATTGTGTTGGTTGTTGTCATTTTTTTATTTGACAACCTAAGGGTAAAGAGGTCAGTGCTCCTGACTAAATAGGTATTGTATGTTTTTAAATTTTTACAGCACATCAGCTGAAAACTGCTGTGCTAAACTAAGTACATGTTTTCATTGGTTTTTTTTTTTTAAAGGATGTTATAAAGACTAAACACTTTGTGGGAGAAAATATCTAAATGCAATTCTGTCACTCAAAATGTAAATAGAACATTCAGAAGGAAACACACACACACACACACACACACACACACACACACATACACACACGCGCGCGGCCTAAAACAATATTACCCAACCCTTCATGCTTGACTTTCATAGAATCATCAGAAAGAATTTGTTGGGTTTTTTTTTTTTTTTTTTTTTGCAAACATAGTGAAAGGGATCACTAATCTTCCCAAGAACTTGCCTTAATCCTTTGATATCAAGATCACTCTGTTGGAAAAGTCTTACCAGGGTCATCATTCTTGTGCGTTTTCTCTTCTTCAGTTGTTGCCCTGCCTTTTCTGCTAGATCCTCCTCTCCCATGGCTTGGCATTGACTCCAGCAATTCTTCACTATTACTTTCATTGATTTCACAAAACACTGGTTTTTGGTAAGATTTCTCAGGTTTCCTATGAAGTTGAGCCACCATTTTCTATGCATGGTTTGGCTAAATATTCCCACATTGCTGTTAGGGCACTATGAGTGGGAAACATAAGTGTTAAGTGGGAGAAAACATCCAATGTAGGGCTGGAAATGTAGGCATCATTGGGAGGAACCATCTTGGAATGGGTTACAAGGAAAGCCACGGGCCTGAGCAAGCATAATGGAAGTCATGGAGACTGATCACAGTGAAATATAAAACCACAAGAAATGCTTCTCCCATTCAGGGAGCAAGAAGATGAAGAAAAGCTAAAAAGGAGGGAGAAAGGTTACAGAGGAGAAAGAAAGTGAAATCAATGCATGTCAAGCCAAAGGAGGAGAATCTCAAGGCGAGGTCGGTCAACAATATGGAGGTCAAGGAGAAGGAGTACTGATGGAGACCACACCACCCGGCAATTCAAACACTGTGGCTGACCTGAGGGCGTATTTCCGACACAGTCTCTGCTCAAGGCCTTGCAAAATAATGTGGAGGTTAAGTAAGTGTCAGAGGTTGTATAAATTGCAGAGCAGAGTTTCTCAGCAGCTGGATCACTGACCTTTGGGGCCTGATAGCTCTTTGCTGGTGGAGGGTGTGGAGAGGGAGCTGTGCTGTTAATCAGAGCAGAGCCCTGGTCTCTACCCACTACATGACAGTAACGCCCTCTCCAGTCATGACAATCAAAACCCTGCCCAGCCCTAGCCATTTGCTCAGTGGTTAGAGCATCGGCCCATGGACCTAAGCGTCTTGCGTTCAATTCCCAGTCAAGGGCACAAACCTCAGTTGCAGGCTCAATCTCTGGCCTAGGTCGGGGCTCAAGAGGAAAGTAACCAATCAATGTGTCTCTCTCACATCGATGTTTCTTTCTCTCCCACTCCTCTCTTCCTTCCACTTTCTCTAAAAATCAATGGAAAATATCTTTAGTTAAGGATTTTTTAAAAATAACAACAACAGCTGAAACCGGTTTGGCTCAGTGGTAGAGCATTGGTCTGCGGACTGAAAGGTCCCGGGTTCGATTCCGGTCAAGGGCATGTACCTTGGTTGTGGGCACATCCCCGGTAGGGGGTGTGCAAGAGGCAGTTGGTCAATGTTTCTCTCTCATCGATGTTTCTAGCTCTCTATCTCTCTTCCTTCGTCTCTGTAAAAAAATCAATAATATATATATATATAATAATAATAATAATAATAATAAAATAACAACAACAAAATATGTCTACACATTGCCAAACATCCCCTGGGGACAAAAATCACACACACACACACACACACACACACACACACTCCATTGAGAAGCATTGAGAAAATGTCTACTCCTAGCAAATGCCCAGCCTTCGAGTCACAAAGCACAGGGCACACTGCATTGCAAACTAAATATTCTGAGAGTCCTACCCAACTAATGCTTCTTTTTAATTTTTTTCAAACCAGAGTTTCCCAAATTCAGGTGACCTCAGAACTTGCATTTGTAACAATCCCCAAAACTGATATGTGACATGCTTTGGCAACTGGTGTCTGAACAAAAACTGAGTGGGTAGAGGGGAAAAGCAGATTTCTGCCAGACGGGGGAAGATTCCACCAGAGCCTCGCCCATTCCCCATCTCCTGCTATATCACACCCCCTTTTCCAATTCTGGTTAGCATCCCCAGACCCTAAATAAAACTATCAGGCTGCTGATGATATGAAGGACCTGCTATGGCTCAACTAGAAGGAAAAAACATTTTAACAAGCCTGTTTCATTGAGTAGCCATTTGGTTTTCTTCTGAGTTATTCGAACAGATTCCATTGACTCTGGAGGCGGAGGAGAAATGAACTCACTGGGGAAGGATAAAGCCTAGTTTTCTCTCTTCTGCTGAGACTGGTAAGGTCAGAATTGAAACTGTCTGGGGTTGGAGAAAGAAGCAACAGCACCCCCTAGTGGCAGACGAACTCCAGTCCCTCGAGTAAAAAAACACACACACACACACACACACACACACACACACACACACACACACACACACACAAAAAAAAAACAGCATTAGGCTCTGGAGTGAAACCACTGGGAAGCCATTGATTCTTCCTAGGCTCCAGGTCAAGTGCTGGTTAAGCTAACAAAGACTGCAGGTGGTCTCTCTTTTCTCCATTAAATGTCACCGTGACTACTGGGCAATGCCTTAGCCAAAGGACGTTTTCAACAAAATAATGATTGTTACATGTTTTATCATCACACCCAATAAGATTCTGCGCATCTTTGCTGGTGGCACTGCATTCAATACTGCAGTCTGTGCATTCAAGCGCTGGCCTTCGGTGCTTCCTGTGCCTGCGGTTTAAGGGTTGATTGGAGTGAGAAATGTTCACGGGGCTGCACACTGCCTTTTAGGCAGATGTCACGGCCCGTACAGCCCTGCGCAGGCCTTTGCCGGATTCTGATGGCTGCCGAGGGCAAGGATCCAATCATCACCAGGAGGCCATGAGACGTTTTGCATTTTGCTGTTACGGTTCTTCAATAGGGGCAGGCACTTGCTAAATGTAGGAAAAGGCCATTTGCTTGGGTTCCTAACTGGCATCTGGGTTTTTCCATTATCTGCAATGCGCAGTGTAGCAGCAGCCTGCAAGTGTGAGATACATTTCATTTGGTTCACATTTGAATGAAGTCAAACAGCTCTGAGGAGGAGGAAACAAAATGCAAAGTTCCTATGGTTCCCTGACTGCATTAGGTAAAGTCCTAGAGGAAAGGCAAATATAAAAGGCAAGGTCATTTGTTTGTTCTACACTTTCAACTTGTGGTGCCTACAAACAAAGTTGGGCTTGTCTGTTTGATGTTGGTTGTTTTGGAGTTTTGTTTTGGGTTTTTTTTCAGATCAAGATTTCAGCATATTATAGCCCTAAAATAAAAATTAATCACTCTTAGATAATGTCAATCTATCCCATAATTTTAGGCTTTCCCCCCTTAAGCTCCCTCTAACTGATATAATTTGGTGTCAGATTTATCATTATATACTGACAAATGTAATGGCCACAAAAAATAAAGCATGGGCGGTAGAAAGAAGTAAAACCCTGCACTGTACAAACTCTTCGAATGTTTGTTAAAAGAAAGTCTTGGATACAAGTGAAGAGCAGCCATAGACACATAACTGGAAACTTCTTAAAGGAAAATTTTTTTATAAAATTAATG